ATAGTTGAGCCACTTCGACCACTGACTGTATAATATGTCAGACTAAGATTATTTAATAATTTATTTATAATACTTAATTATGCTAAACCTTTAAGTAATTTATTTTTCTATTATAATTTATAGTTATACGGTAAACCGCAGATTAAACTTTATCAAAAACAAATAGCACACCGTATTATTATAATAATTGAGGACCTCTATAATACCAAACTTATAATTCAATACAAAGTCCCATAGAATCTATGAATGTGTAAATAAGTTTGTGGTATAATAGGGAAAAATTAATATAAATATTTTTAAAATTCCATATTATATATTCGAGAATGCCAAAGATCCAATTTTTTTAAACATATTATACCCTTCAATATTGTTTATAAAAAAAATTATGGATATGAATTCAGTGGCATCGTTTCAGTTTTCAGTAGAGGAAGGCAAAATTCAGATCCCTTCGCATACAATTATTATAAAATTGGATACTGAAAATGTCCTTATAAACACTTCAAAACAAGTCAAAATATTTTTGAAATGTTATAGTGTATGGGAAATGCTAAAGATAAACGTTCAGTCAAAATGTCATGCATTCACGGTCATTTTGTTTTATAGAGTTACACCAAAAACCAAAATCAATACTGTCGAAAACTCGTTTTTCCTTAATTTTTATTTTAACAACTGGGACATTTTTACTTTTGACCCCCCAAAGTATCAACTAGATTCACTTTACTATCAGAAAAGGAGCTGTTAAAGGAAATTTAAGAATTTTACTGTCCTAAAAGGTGATGACAAAAAATTAAAAAATTAAAAAAACACATTATTATTGTAAAATCAATACATATTCATCGCTCCTCTATAGTAATCTGAAAGATTACTAAAAGTTTTCATATCTGTAAAAAGAGCTCATAAAGTACCGAAATAATTTTAAAAATCTGTTATGTAAATGTTAATATAAATATTTAGAGAACATTTCAAGTTTCGATGATAACCTATTTGTTTTTGAATACAATAAAAAGAAAATGAATTTGCCTATTGCGAAAATGTTCTCATTTTTCTACTGATTATTGTCAGTTTTTCACAATCATTTTAAAAAGAACTAGGAATTTTAAACCCCCCCCCCCTCTCACACACAAGCACTAATAACTAAATTAAAGAAATTTGCAACCTGCAGAAACCATCATCAAAATTAAAAATTCAATCGCATTTTTACAGCTTCAAAATATGATGACAAACACAGACTTTTTTTTTTAAAAGACCCTAAAAGAAATAATACATTCGTAGGTCCACTTTGAATCTAAAATTAACGACTAAACTGAATATTAGCTATTTATAAAATTAATATTTTAGTACTTGTATTTGTATATAGGTAAGGAAATCTTCTGATACACTAAAACACTTAGATATCTTACCACGATATATTAATGTAATAGATTATTATTTCTTATAATACGAATAACAAGACCGAGACGTATAATAAAATGGGCTATTGCTTACAACTATTATCATTTAAATGACGTCAACTATCATTCCGCGGATTCCTCTGCAAGTGCTCTATTAATATAATCTAGACTACGACGCGACTGAATAAAAATATATACACACACCGTCACACTTCAATGCATTACCAAAGCTTTACCTATTCCGGAACAATATCTCGATCGAAACAACGAACTTTGAGCTTTCAATTTGTGATTTATACATGATTGACTTTTCGCTTTCGAGACGAATAGACGACATTTCATACGATAGTACTACGATATACGTCGATGCTATACAATGGTTCAATATGGGTACCTATTATTATACTCATTTCATAATGTTGTGATGAACCGTGAATCGTGATCATCACTGCCGACCGCGGACAGACATAAACCTGAAATACAGGATAAGTATGTGTTTCCTATTAGATTCCTAATTAGACACACAAATTAATTAATTTTTGACTGACAAAAATTATTTTATCTTAAAGTAGATTCTATCCATTTCTTCTGCGAGTATACCAAATTGAAGGTGTTGTGTTTACTGTACTTACATAATAGCATTGAGTATAGATAGTATAGAGAAACAATGTATATGAAATATGGCCTACGCTTCCGGGGAGGCGGCTAGTAGATGGCGCCTTAAAGAATTCGTCGCGGAGGCGAAAACAGTGCAGTAGTTCTACATACTAATAATTATTGTACACTATCGCCAGCGTCAAATAAATCATTTCAATAATTACATAATATATTATCTATGTATAATATATTAAACAAATAATCTATGTGTATTCAAATATATATTTGCGTATCTCATCATTGTTCGTTACATTATAGGTACATGCCTATTCGTTAATGGTACTAATTTTATAAAATATTAATACATTATTTATAACGTACATAATATAAGTATTATTTTATTACCTACCTATTTATAACAATGCCGGGTGGTACTTGTTCTTATTTTAACTGCATGAAAAATCGAAGTAATAACAAAGGATTAAAGATGTTTAGATTTCCTACCGACAATTCATTGTCTAGAGAATGGATACTTAATTCAGGTTGATAATACATTAATACTTTATAATATTTTAATCATAATATATTGTATATATTAATATACTATATATTATAATAATTATATACATACAATATGTTAATTCGTAAAACCGCAATTAAATAGGTAAATATATTTTATAATAATTTTTTAAGGAAATATTACTTTGGATTTGTTGTCTCCTAAAAAACTAAGAAACAGATATTTATGTGAAAATCACTTTCAAAATAAGTGTTTTACCAACCCTAATGACAAATCTCGTCTGAACTATGGTGCTTTACCAAAAAAGTATACAATGGCCAACGGTAAAGGAATTTTTTAAAAATTGTTTTTATTATTTATAAACAGTAGAAATCGTTATATTGAGATTCAAATTAGGTACACATGCAGTTTAGTTCCCACGCGATTTTTCGATTTCCCCCCCCCTCCCCAAATTTGTGTTTTAAAGCACTGAATACAAAAGTTTAATTCAAAAATTCTCGTAAATTATTATTTTGGAAGTTATATTTTTCCAAAGTTTACGATTTTACGTAGTTACCTATGCATGCACTTTGCCGAGGAGCGTAGTGACGAGTGCCGATACACGCGTAGTCACTGCCCAAGCAAAATAACATTTTTATTTAAATTTTCACATATCCATAATTGTTTTGTCCCTGTTACCTACTTGATGTGGTTTTGCATAACAAGTCGGGGGATATTTTCGATTTGCGGAGTGGAGTGACGATACACTCGTATAGTCACTGCAAGAGATATTAAGCTGTGATATTGTGTAAATTTTGATTGAATTTACGAGTTTTTAAGTTTTTAATTTTTAGTTTTTAAACAGCAAATACGATAATTAAAATCTATTTGCATATATCCATCTATCATAAAAACATACAAGTTTAAAAATAATCAGAAAGTTTTTTCGATGTTTTTATCGATAGGATATCACGTATTTTTAAAAATGTACTGTTTTATAGTTTTTATTTATGGTATAACTTTTGAAGTAAAAAATGCGAGAATTTTTGAATCAGATTTTTGTATTCAGTGCTTTAAAACACAAATTTGGGGAGGGGGGGGGGGAAATCGAAAAATCGGAGTGGAGTGGTTCGGGGTTACCCCGCGAAATGTTTGTCCACTTCACCGCTCGTCTAAACTTTAAATACTTATAACTCATAAACTACTCAACCCAAATTCAATTTTCATGTATCAAAATACTAAGAAAAATATTCTACTTTAGAATATAAAATTAAAACCCTATGTTGTCATTCAAAAAAGTAAAAAACTTAAAAAATTATAAGGATAAAAAATAATTAAAAATATAATTTTTTAATAAAAACGTTGTTTTATAAGCAACTTGAAACTATGTAAAAAAATATCTTCAAAAAAATTTACACTTTTTGAAATAATGAGTGTTGTTTGATAAAAGAATCACCCTGTATATTTTTATAATCAAAATTGAGTAAAACCAATCAGTAACCGAGATATTGCCTTTAAGAATGTTAATTCATATAATATGGCTATAAGGGCTCCCGCACAAACCAGAAAGGGATAAAAGTTTAAAACTAAGCAAAAAACCAAAAAATAAAAATGAACCTTTGTTCGAATTACGGTCTGCGTTTTATGTAGCTATAAAAAATATTGAAGATCCGGCCCTAAATAAATACTGTGATCGCCTGTGCAATATTACCTATATGTTCGCGAAAACTGGGTTCACTCTACAACTCGGTCAACTACTTTACTCAGTAGCCCAAAAGTACTTTATAATTCTGAATATGTCTGCAGGAGATTGATGAACCAATAGTCTAGTTACATACTTACATGTCCCGCAAACAGAACTCAAAAATATGTACCTATAGGGTACTGAGCAATATGGGAAATTTAATTATACAGTGTCCCTGTTTTCGCGGATACTCGTTATATCTATGTGAAATATACATGTAGGTATTAATGCTAATAATAAGGGTTTTAAATTATAACTATATTATAATCAACAGTAGGGTAACAATATTTAAACGTATATAATCATACAAACAGAGCGTATCATCAAGTTGGTAACTATCAATAAGTTTTTGCCTTTGAATAATTTTAAATATTATTTCTGTAATAAAAACCTAAAGGTTCATTTATTATATTTTTAGCAAAATATATTTTTTTCCATATCCTAAAACGGTCTCAATTCATAGAGCTAATTTGTTTCAATATTTTAAAAGTTGAATTATGATTATCTATTATGTGTATTAGGTTATATGTGCAAAACGATTTTCATACAACCTCGATAATCATACTTTGACTTCCACCAATCACTTGGTGTTTTAGGGGACCAGTGTCGCTCACTTTGCATGATCCACACATAGTGGTAGAGCTGTATAATTATGAGCTACCATTATATTGCACAAAATAAAGTGGCTGGGTGGCAATGTATCAAGAAAAAAACAGTAAAATACACTGTAGGTATATTTAATCTATTTACTACTAAATATTACATTGAACTATTTAGTGTAGCATTTAGAAAAACTAAAAGACGATTTAAGTTTAGTCCTAACTCTCGGTGAAGACCATTTTCCATTTAGATTATTTGTAAACGCCATTTCTTTAGATGACACTCCTTCGTCCACTTCATCTTCTTCGGTTTTAATTTCCATTTTCTGAAAAACATTATTACCGCTATAAAATAATTCGTTTCATAAACATAACCACCATTGCAGCATACCTGAATAATTAGGCGGAGAAATGTTTGTTGGTTTTCAAGCGAGCTAGTGATCGTTTTCAAACGATCTTTCACTTTTCCAATCTCATCAGCCAAGTGATTTTCATTATTTTCTAATACCATTTCGATTGCTGTTGATAACAAAAAACACGAAACATAGAATAACAAGTTTGGTTTTATTTATTGTAACACAAGTCCAGCTGCGTTTACACTATACTGCAGTAATAATAATGAAATATTAAAAATACGTTATCTCACGCATCTCAAGTTCAAAGTTTGCTCGCCAGTGTGAACGCAGCAATAGGTACAAATCGGATACACGAACAAACTTACAGCCGCGAGCGGAGCAGCTGAAATTATGATTGTTGGGAGGCTTACCGTCATCAGAGAACGGGTTACAAAACCATTTTCGCAAGATAAAATCCAAAAAGCCCATTTTTGTTTTTCTCTCGTTTGGATACTCGATCTGCTCAGCTTTATCGATTTTCTCCATCAGCACGTGCGGCAACTTACGTTCCAGTTCTGTGTGTAACACGACCTTGAATAAAACAGTCAAATTGTATAGGTTAATCGAATTGGTTTTTTTTTCAACTTTATAAAGCTATTATAAATAAGTAATGATATATTATGAAAATAAAATATAAACTATATACATACATGACATGAGCAAAGAACAACAATTATATAGTTCGATGCTCATGGCCAAAACCTATACAATATAATATATTAAACGTTAAGTTAGGATCTTTCGTAAGGTTCTTCTTTCAGGAAGGTGTTTACGTGTTCCACATTTACAACAAGTGTTCCTACATCAAGTTCAAGTATAGTGGTTGCATTTTGACAAAACTGCAGAGAGTTTCTGTGGTGGAAGGGTGTCACCGTTTTCCGCCGAAGTTACCCTAGACCGTTATCACTGTGTTCGTTTTCCTCCAAAATAAATGAATATGTTATTTTAGATATTTTTTGAGAGTCCTGTAAATCTATCAAACCGTAATGATCACGAAATACGTGCCTCACCTCAACTCACCTAATATCGAGTGGTAAAATTTGCAAGTGTATTTCAATATCTTAACGTATAAGCTATTAGCTGAATTTATATTTGATACACAGCGTATATAAGAATAAGTATAACATAGGTATTATAGGTATTATAGTAGTGTAAAAATTAAGAGAATCTAAGTTTTAAAATTATTCTTTAAATTTATAATGAAAAGTATCAATTGTATATACAATATAAATATTAAATACTAACTGACCCGGCAAATGTTGTAAAGAGTTTTATTATTATTTGTTATTTTTATTTTCCTGGTGGCACCTAACCAAAACTAAAACCAATAGAAGCACTATCTGAACCTAATATGTGAATTGTGAATATGGTTTCGGTATATTAAATATTACAAACATCACTATAGTTTATAGTCAATATATTTTATTTACGTATTATAATAATGTAGTATATATAAATACATTAAATTATAAAATTAAATTACATAAAAAGTACAAAAATTGAAATATATTATTGATGGTATATACTCTATAAGTTTTAATAAACAAATATTTAACATACTTGAATAGTTGAATCTAGTTCAAAAAATTATTCAAGGATCACATATTGAATGTGAATTGAGTGTATTCTTCATTTCCTATTTGTTTTAAATTTAATAGTATTTTATGGAGTTTTTGGTACATTCACACTTGAATAATTCAACAATTATTGTTGCAATATGCAGTGGTCTGTCCTTAATTTACCAAATTCTGAATCCACATAAATATTAAGGATGAGTTTTTAAAAAACGAATGATTAAAATCCTAAAAAAATTAATTTGTGCTTCTTTTTATTCAAGCAGCTGCTTCAACTCATAATATTTAGAAAGGAAAGTACTTTCATTTGAACTGTAATTTTTAATAAATATATGTATCTATAGGTACGGGACGGGATTATCAGATGGGCACGGCTGTGGCATAAGTTGGGAAATTCACTGATAAAATTATATTTTACTTGATATGATGTATCAGGGGTGGCGACTGGCGAACCTTTTTCGGATCACGTGCCAAAATGTTGTAATCCAAGTTTAAAGAAAAATTTACGTGCAGGTAATATAATATGTTCACATGTAACAATAAACAATTTTTTACAGGATGCGAAAGTGTTAAAAAAAGTTCACTAAAATGATTTATTATCAGTTGTGTATTTTGTTACCTAATCTTAGATGGTTTAATGAAACCACTATATCAATTAAGTTTAACTAACATTAACTTCATCCAACTATCGACTATTTTTAATATGTTTTGATTTGACATTATGGAAAATAAACTTTCACATATTATGTATGTTAACGAGAATATTAACTTTATTTCAAATGACCCATTTTTTTCCAAAGTACAAAATATTATGTCTGGAAGCAGTGAGTTCCAGGACCTTATAATTTAAACTTTATTAATAATAAATTATTTTGTTCACTATTTATTTTTTTTCATTAAACGCAAGAATAAACAATGATAAAAATATTTTTGAGTTCCGTGATAACTTGGTCAATGTGCCACATTTGGCACACGTGCCATAGGGTCACCACCCTTGTGATATAGACTTTACGTAGTAAGCTGAGGTGAGGAGGGTACATCGTAATCATTCCAATTTGATGGATTTTGGTTCAGGGATTCTCAAAAAATAACTTAAGTCATATATTTATTTATTTTGGTGGAAATTAAAATGTAACCCTTGTCGAAAACGGACACTTTGGTAACAGACGAGGTGGGATACAGAAACCCCCAGTAGTGATGGATAAATTGCCATCAATTGTTTTTTTTTTGGTGATGGTATTTTGATAAACTTTTAATTTATTATTAAAAATTGAAAACAACTTTTTATATTTTATTCAAAAAATATGACAAATAAATATTAGTATACAAGGTGTAACAGAAAGACTTGACGAAAAAAAAAATGACGCTACTTAAAGGTATGACAAAAATTCTTAAAATTATATGATTAGTACATAATTTAAGAATTAATATACTCATGTCAGAAAATTCCCAAAAAAAAATATTTTGAAAAAAGTTATTATAATAACTTACGTATACGTTCCAAATTCATTTAAGCAAAAAAATATTGATATTTCAAAAATTCTAAAAAATAAACTACTTGACTTAGATAAATGTTTTTATCATCAAAATTGTTCTTCTAATTAGATTCACAAGTTGGCTATTTTGAATATATCAAAAAAATTTAAATCGAATTTAAAATTTTTAGATTCTGAGTGAAACGATGAATGTATTGATTTTACAATGATGTGTGTTTTTTTTTTATTTTTTTATTTTTTTTATTTTTTTATTTTTTAATTTTTTTATTTTTGTGTCTGTGTACACGATAAGTAGTCGAAATAATGCTTCAATTTTCGACTTCAGTATCTTGTTCGATTGGAAAGTGAATATCGTTGGTGCATTGGGGAGGTAAAAATTTAAAATTCCCAATAGTTTTCACAAGCGCCGGGAAAAACAACATACAAATTAAGGAAAAACGGGATTTTTTACGCAAAATCAGTTTTTGACAAAATCGAATTTGGTTTTTGGTGTAACTTTAAAACAAATGACCGTAGATACATGAAATTTTCACTGGTTGTTTATATTTGCATTTTCTATACACGATAAAATTTTCAAAATATTTTGATTTATTTTGAACTGTTTAGGGACGTTTTCATTTTCCATTTTTTTTTAGTTTTTTTTCTAAAAATATCAATAAAATTTTATTTGTTGGTTGCGAAAGCTTGAAAATTTAATAGAAGGTTCCTAATATGTTGTTTCAAAGGCAGATGAAAAATATTAAAAATCCTTAGTCACAATTTTTTTTTATAAGCATTTAAAGTTCAAAAATTGACAAAATATGGAAAAATCACGAAAATTAGCAAATTATTTTGAGTTAAGAATTCGTAAAAATTTTTCTTTTTAAATCTAAGATTTGAAAATGAAACACAAGATTCCTTATAAGATTATCTACCTTTATCAATAAAAAAATCTCTACCGGACAGTCAAATTAAATTTTTATGAGCGTTTGAAATTCAAATTTTTACAACATTGGATTTTCACTCGATTACTCATGTAGCGATTTCCTTATTTTGTTGCAATTCAAAAACGAACAACTGTAGATACATGAAAATTTCACTGAATGTTTAAATTAGCATTTTCTATACCCCATACAATTTTGAAAATATTTTGACTCTTTTTGAGCTGTTTATGAACATTTACAGCTTTCAATTTTTTTTAGTTTTTTTTTCTACAAATATCAATAAAGTTTTATCTGTTGGGCCAAAAAGTGTAAAAATTTAATACAAGGCTCCTGATATATTGTTACAATAGCAGTTGAAAAATATTAAAAATACATAGGCACAGTTTTTTTTTATAAGCATTTAAAGATCAAATTTTGACAAAATTTATCAAAATCTCAAAAATTATCAATCATTGTAATTAATAAATTATAAAATGTTCAGTTTTTATAGCTAAGGATTACAAATTCAACACAAAGGTTCTCATAAATAGTTCATACTATAACCAAAAAAATCTAAAAAATATATGAACACAGTTATTTTTTACAGACATTTTAAATTCAAATTTGGACGAAATTACATATTAAAAAACCTAGAATAACTATTTTAGTTATTTTGTTGTGATTGAATAATATTATTCGTGGGTACTTGAAACTTCTAAAGTGTACTATTATATATCTATGATAGTATCACGGTTTTTGTTGATGTATAACGCGTTATAAGTACCTAATGGATATTGTGATATGATTAATTTGGAATTCATTATAGGTCAATTTTTTTAATACCATAGATAAGTATATAATATGTCTTATACATACACTGACATACCGTCACCGCTCAGAATCGTTTTTCTTATACAATGATATTATATCATTGAATTCAAATTTAATACCATCCATTATACAGTGACCCACTTGTAACCTACTGTACAGCAGAGCGACACCCACTTGCCCACCTTTTTATTTTCAATGTTAATTTTTTGCATAATATATTTTTTTTTTTTATTCATCCTTAATCCCGGCTTCTATGGCCATCATTAGCTGTTTGTAGGGTTGTATTGTGGTGGTGGTAGGTATAATAATATATTATGTGAGCAAGTGACTATAAATTGTATATAAAAAAACATTTTAAATATTGATTAGAACAAAAGTTATTTCAAAAGTCTGTTATATCTGTTACGCTCTGTATATAGGATATTATACTATATAATAACATACGGCAAACACGATCAGACAGACTGTCGGAAACTTGGAACTCATATAAGTGAACACTGAACACCAACTTACTGACAAGTGATTCGTATATCGTAATTAGGTTTTTGTCAGAATTAGATGTGGGCATGGGAATGTTTATATTAGTAAATACTATAAACTGTCGTAGCGGTGAGTCGCTGTTGAACGTGATAACTGATAATAATATAACCGACCACAACAACCGGGTTTAGTAGAAACATTGAGAAATAATGATTAATGTTCTAAATAGATTTGAATTCGATAAAATTACAATTTTCGAGTTCATTGTATCATTGAATGAATTGAATGAATCATGGTTTTTTTTTTTTTTTGGAAAGGAGAAGTTTTGATACATTAACACATAAATTATTAGAGGGTGCTAATACCTCCTAAGCCCCCCTCCCTATTTGCGCCTATGGGATGCAGTGTCGATTCGTGGTGCTGCCCGAAGCCGCCGCCTGCAAGTTGTAGCTCACCGAGTTTCCCTAGTAACGTCAATATATTACTACGTTTAAATGGGTGACGTTAAACGGGTTTAAATCCACGGTTATGTTGGGTATCTAACCCGGTATAGGTAGAAGCTTACATAAGTGATTTATAAATATTAAAATATTATAGTTAATACCAGGGCTTGAAACCGCTCCTGAAGAAATAGGTTACCGGGTCCGATAGGACCTGGAAAATTTTTTGGAACCGGTTACCGGTTATCGAGGTTTTTAGAAATAATGATAATCATTTCCCGCTTACCGAAATAAATTTTATAAATGGGATTACCGGTTATCTATTTGGAAGCGGTTTTAAATCTTCAAAACTACCGGTTACCTCACAAAACCGTTTTTTTTTTTTTTTTGTTTTAATACCTACTCTATTTTTTTTCATCAAACTTAACATGTTTAGTATAGTATTACACAGTTTTGTTCAGTATTACTATTATTACAAACTAATGTAACGAACTTATTATTAAATAATGAATATCAAAACAGTCCCTGATTATAAGTTATATAACCTACCTATTACCTAGTACTTTTTACAATATCGTACATGCAAGAGTTATATACTATTATATATATATGTATCAGCCCGCATTCGTCGATGTTTCTACCATTCGTATCAGTATTCAGTACCTATATCCAGGGGCGGATCCAGAGTTAGGAAACAGTGGGTCAGGAAATTTCAAGGGGCCACTTATTAAAACCAAATTAGAAATCTATACTTGTGTACTAGGTATATAAAACAAAAAAAAGGTGCTCCGCTGTACAGTAGGTTACAAGTGGGTCACTGTATAATGGATAGTATTAAATTTGAATTCAATGATATAATATCATTGTATAAGAAAAACAATTCTGAGAGGAGACGGTATGTCAGTCTAAGTATAAGGCATATTATTTTCTTATCTATCGTATTAAAAAAAATTTACCTATAATAAATTCCAAATTAATCATATCACAATATCCATTAGGTACTTATAATGCGTTATACGTCAACAACAAACCCTGATACTATCATAGTCCATACTCAATAGGTATATAATAGTGTACTTTAGAAGTTTCAAGTACCCACGAATAATATTACACAATCACAAAAAAATAACTAAAATAGTTATTCTAGGTTTTTTTTATGTAATTTTATCCAAAGTTGAACTTAAAATGACTATAAAAATAAACTGTGCTTATGTATTTTTTAGATTTTTTGGTAACAGAATTAACTACAATGGTGAAATCATGTTTTAAATTTTCAATCCTTAGATATAAAAGTTGAACATTTTATACATTTTTAACTACAAAATAATTATTCAATTTTAAATTTGATAAATTTTGTCAAAATTCGATCTTTAAATGCTTATAAATTGTGCAGCCTATGTATTTTTAATATTTTTCAACTGATATTGTAACAATATATCAGGAGCCTTATATTAAATTTTTACACTTTTTGGCATAACAGATAAAACATTATTGATATTTATAGAAAAAAAAACTAAAAAAATTGAAAACTGAAAATGTCCGTAAACAGCTCAAAAAGAGTCAAAATATTTTTGCTGTATACCTAACCTGCGCTGTACATTAGGTTACAACTTACAAATGGGGGTCGTTGTAATGGATGGTATTAAATTTGAATTTATAATTATATATAATATCATTGTATAAGAAAAACAATTATTTTCAAAATTGTACATTGTATAGGAAATGCTAATATGAACATTCAGTGAAATTTTCATTTATCTACAGTTATTTGTTTTTGAATTACAACAAAATAAGGAAATCGCTACATGAGAAATCGAGTGAATATCCAATGTTGTAAAAATTTGAATTTCAAAGGCTCATAAAAATTTAATTTAACTTTCCGGTAGAGATTTTTTTATTGATAAAGGTAGACAAACTTATGAGTAATCTTGTATTACATTTTCAAATCTTAGATTTAAAAAGAAAAACTTTTACGAATTCTTAACTGAAAATAATTTTCTATATTTCGTGATTTTTCCATATTTTGTCAATTTTTGAACTTTAAATGCTTATAAAAGAAAATTGTGACTAACTATTTTTAATATTTTTCATCTTTCTTTAAACAATATACTAGGAGCCTTATAATACATTTTCAAGCTTTCTAAGCTAACAAATAAAATTTTATTGATATTTTTAGAATAAAAACTAAAAAAAAAATGGAAAATTAAAATGTCCCTAAACAGTTCAAAACAAATCATAATATTTTAAAAATGTTATCGTGTATAGAAAATGCAAATATAAGCAACCAGTGAAAATTTCATGTATTTACGTTCATTTGTTTTAGAGTTACACCAAAAACCAAAATCGATTTTTTGGAAAACAGATTTTGAGTAAAAATTTCCGTTATTCCTTAATTTTTATGTATTTAATCCCGGCGCTTGTGAAAACTATTGGGAATTTTAAAATTTTACCTCTCGAATGCACCAACTAGATTCACTTTCCAATCGAACAAGATACTGAAGTTGAAAATCGAAGCATTATTTCGACTACCTATCGTGTACACACACAAAAATAAATCAAAAAAATTTAAAAAAAAAACACACATTGTAAAATCAATACATTCATCGTTCCACTCAGAATCTAAAATTCATTTATACTATATGTGTGTTTATTTAAGTGTCCAACTACTCAAGATCTGAAAAGAGGCCAATTTGATCAGAAAATATTAACCGTGGGTCAGCTGACCTCCTGAACCCTCCCCTAGATCCGCCCCTGCCTATATCATAGGTACTGACTACTGAGAATCTTTTGTTAGTGCGCCGATACGATTCCGCAATCAAACACGCTTGTTTTGGTATTTTTAAATTTTAATACTTAGTAGTTCTAAAATAATCTATTTTAGTATTTTATAAATATTATTTTCTTCTATTTAGAATATTCAATAAAATTAAAAAAAATTATTTTTAAGTTAATTGGTTTGAGATTTACGGTTTTGTATACTTCCGATTAATTAACCGGTTCTAAAAATAAACGGTTACCGTTATAGATTTCCCCCTTTATCAAATTCCGTGATTACCGGTAATTGATAACCGCTTCTCAAAATTGAAACTCGAGAACCGGGAAGCGGATACCAGTCCAAAAAGTACTCATGGTAACCGGTTACCGGGAAAAATCGGTTACCGGTTTCAAGCCCTGGTTAATACTTAATGAATTTACGACAAATTTAGATTTAGAATGTTACGATGACTTGCAATGAAATTATTTTATTTAGTAAAACCATTGTACTGGAATATATATAGGAAATCGATTTCGGAAACAACAATATTTTTTACAAAATTGATTACCTATCTATTCATTAATTTACTATATAATGTAAGAATTTACCTATTATACATCTGTAGAACGTCAAAGTTTATAAAACTAATTATTGTAATTTAATCTTAAAATTATGACCACACGACGTCGTATAATCTAGTACATATTATGTTTAATAACAACAGCACACCACGGACGTTGTCCGTTGGTTCGATTTTTTGGTGATCCGTTTAGTAATTACATCCAAAAAGACTACAACGATAACACTTAGTATAGCCTATCTACAACGCCGTGTTATTATGATTTTAGGACACGTCGTAATATTGTGATAAACTGGAAAAATATTAATAGTTAATACTATGCGTTTATGAAAAATGGGAATGTCAAAATTGTGCAGATGACTACATGAGTACACTGAAGTCAGGACGTGTCATGGATATATTGGTATAGCGGTATTATTAGCAGGTATATAAGAAAAACATAAAGTTACTCGATCTACTTGATTACATATTTTGATGTAAACAATATCTGTACACTAAAATTATTATTGTATAATTTTTTTACCTGCATCGCCAGTCTTTTAAGCTGTGCATTTCGTCTGACAGATTCAATATCACCAACAGCCAAACCAATGAGTAGATTCATTAGAAGAATAGGCATGAGTACCATGAATACGCCAAGCATCAAAAACACGGGCACTGGATATGGTATAGTTCTGGGGGGCTGGCCTTTTTCTTCTTCATCTTCAGCGTACAGAGGTTGTATGTAAGTTCCAAGTAAATCTATTTCACCCAACATCATTGCGAAAGTCCGTAATAATGACATTGGTATCGTACTGAATGATAAATGATTACCCTAACAAATATTTAAGAAAATATGTATTAAAAGAAATGTCGATTAAAAAATAAAATACTATTCACCTGATTTACATGCAAAAATTTGGTGAAACTTATTGAAATTTTAAATGTATAAACTTACCCTTGATAGTAATATGTAAAACGCTAAACCAAAAGCAGCAATTAATATAGAAAATAAGAGCAGTACTTTGATCAAGGTTTGTAAGATTTCGAGAAACATAACAACGTATATTCCTACCTGATCGAATCTAACAAAAAACAAATGAATACATTATTTATCATTCAATCACTTAAAGCTAGAAAGTGAAATATATTTATTTTTAAAATTTGTCTAATTTATTCAACCTGCTAGTGGAAATGGTCCTGTTAATTTTACTTACGAAACTATGATTCTATCTTTATTAGTTTTTAATGCCCTTTGATCTATTTAGATTTACCTCTGTAGGTTAAGAAGTAATGTAAACCAGCTAAGGAATACAGTTATGCTGGCAAAAGATATTTGATACTCCGAAAAACAATTCGTTAATATCGGTGCAATCATGGCTATAGCTGAAAAGTATAACAATATTGCCACAACGTTGGTGGGGTCCAATAGATAAGGCCAACCCTGCTGATAAAATTGAATCCCTTCTCGTACACTGTTCATGAATACATAAATTACAATCATAACTGCCACTGTCTTCAGTGTAGCTACATTTGGCTAGAAAATAGAGAAAAAAATTAATTTAATCGTAATTAAGAATAAATAATATCAATAATATTTTATACATACCGTGCTATCGACAGTTAATAGAGCATTACTCGTTTCATTAAAGGTATTTTGGTTGTAGACCATTAATTGAGATGAAAATAAAGTTACAAATATCAAAAATATCGTGTAGAACAACAAATGTGCAAGATGAAAATATTTTCCATATGTATTCCATTTCATTTGTAAGTATTTTTGACTTAACGGATGTGCTAAGAGTTCAACTCTACCATGGTTGACCATTGCCTAGTTATAAAATAAAAATATCAATGACAACTGAAATATTATATCATAATAATATTAAAACATACGTTCAAAGCAGGTAATGGAGTGGGCTTTAATGTACCAGTCGTTCCATTTTTTTGAACCATTGGACATTGAAGACATGAGAACGAATACTTTATCTAAAACAAGATATATTTTTCAAAAATTGACACGATTTTCCTATTTAATAATAATACCTACATAAAATTGTTTGGAATCTTTTTTACAATTAGCTTTTGTAATGCATTTGTCTTGTACCGCTTCAAAAACTCGTGGCATAGACGCTATTAACGCCAATGTAACGCAAGGATGCCTATCTGATTTCAATGTCATTATTTCTTCAGCTCTGTAACAGAAACACAATTTCAACTTTACCATTACAGATGTATGACAAATTATATATATATATTATATATATATGTATATTAATAAATAGTTAATAATTTACCGTGAATCGTGAGTAACCATCGATAATGCAGCTTCGGGAAACTTATAGTAAATTGCGTAATCAATTGCACTCAAATCTAAGGAGTTGAATAATAATTTACAGTTCATATACAATAACAATGTTATAGCATTTGGTTTATTCTCCATAGTAGCTAAATGCAAAGCCGTATTTTTATCCTTATCGCATTGATCTAGTAGATGTGAGTGCACGGAATGTAATAGTTCTATTGTTTGTGTATGACCACTCATAGCAGCCAAATGAAGGGGATTACGACCTTTGTGATCGCGATGAAGTAAGGCTCCTCTGTTCAAGAATAATTGCACTACTTTTGTATGACCTATGAACAGATATTATGTTAAATTGTCATTGTGTAACGTAAAAAATATATACCAATAATGTTAAATTCTAAAATTTAATTTAATTTGAAATTACCTTGCTGAGATGCTATATGTAAAGGCGTAAGTCCTTCACCATCCGATTCGTTTATAATAAAAGCCCCCTTTTCTGAGTTCAATAATCTTTTCACAATATTATATCTTCCATATCTAGCCCCAAAATGTAAAGGGCTCTCGCCGTTATAATTTTTTATATTCACACATGCACCTAACCGAATTAAGCTTTCCAAACTTCGTATATGACCACCTCTACTTGCGTAATGCAAAGGTGAACATCCAGTATTATCTTTTTCGTTTAATAACATTTCTAAAGCTCCTTGATGGTTAGCCTATAAAATAAACCGTAATTACTGTATTAGAAAAATAAATAAAATACATTTAAAATGAACAAAAATAATTTTAAAAATCCAACAAATATCAATAGCACAAAATATTTTTAAATGATATAATAATAACAATAATTTATAATATTTATGACGGTTATCAACTCCATTTACAAAAATAATATTTACATTGACAGTTTAGCCCAATGATAATAAATCTGAATAATGTAAATATTTTGAAATTATTATACATTTTAAATATAATGGTAGTTTGTATAATGCATAATATTAATTATTTAAAAATAGTATTGAATAATATAGTCTTAGCAGGTATAGTAATTTAATTGATTCGATGACTAATAACTGTTTGATATAAAATCCATACTCTAATCAAATATTGTGTACCTAATAACTATTGTTTCATATATGATATTAAATAGATAGATAATTTTATTTACTCTAGTTACAAGAAATATACACAGTACAGATAATAAATATAGATAAATATTACTAGAAATTTCTCTACACTGAGATATTAGATTTATTAGATATGTTTATGAACCAAAATATTATTAATAAAATAATAATGATGTAGTAATTATTAAACATTATGGGCTTGTAATAAGGCTAATAATACGTATTATACACCAAACGCATTATGTAAAACTTAGTCCCGACGATAGATCTAAACCTCTTATCTGATACCTCATTTAGATAATTAATAGTTCCCTGCTCTTAAACAAATATTAATTAATAAATAATACACTGATTATAGATACTGAATATGTGTAGTGGCGCTAAAGGTAATTAAAACTGAGTCACTATGGTATTATTCTTACCATCCATCCGCATAAATTTCCTCCTGTATTCTTAACAAGATCCTAACATATATATACTTCCAACTTCCTATACCTATTCCTGCCACCCATCCACCCACTATATTATATAGCAGCTATTATAGCTATGAGATATATTGTGTCCACATGACCTACATACGAACTTCAGCACAACTTTGACATAGGATTTAACCTAGGATATAAAGTATTAAAAAGATGATACCTAGGTATAAAAAAAAATATTATTTTTAATTGTTCATAATCTATCTGAAGTTATATAGTTACTATTCTCACTTCTAATAGACATCTAAAATAGTTTATTTCGTGTTTATATACATATACAATTCCAGCCCGTAGCAAAGAGGCATATATGAAAATCAAAGTCGATCATCAAAATCTAATAACTTTACAAGGCAAAAATAAAATATACCAACTATAAATGTTTTCATTAGAAATAAAATGCTGAACTAAAGATTTTTACCGCTAAATTTACTTAAAAGACTATAAATTTTTCCAAATGGCCCTAGACCACGACATTATTAGATGCCTCTAAATATCGCGATCTAATAATATGTTGGTTACAAAACATTTTTATTTTTCATAAATAATTATTAAATTATTATAGTTATTCACGTAGTATATAGGATTGATTTTACTTTATTATTTAAGAACAATATTATGTTTTTTAGAATCCCAAATACGTAAATATTTTTAAATATTTTATAACAAATTAAGTTAAAAATTCTTTTATTTTCATTGTTTTTGCCTTAATTTAAATAACTAAAACGTAAAAATTAAATTAATCGTATCTATTTTATACTCCAAACGGAGATCCTTCTACTCGAACAATACATCGAATATTGATTTTACAATGATGTGAGTTTTTTGGGTGTACTTTTAAACATTTTTTTCTTTAAATACCAATCGATAAAAATATTTTTGCCTGGTCAAAAAGATTGAAAATTAAGTATTTAAACGGAAAACAACGGTTTAAGTTATTTTTTGTAATTCAAAAATAGTTTCCGTTAGGATTCGACATTTTTAGATATGTTATTATTTTATACTCGCAATGGCATTTTCAAGACATTTGGATTAACCCTATGCTATTGCATTTTATACCTTATAGTAGGTATAGTAAAAATTATTTAAGCATGAACCTATTCACGAAAAGTCGGTACCTAATGACTCAAAAGTTAACAACAATAATGTATTATATAAATATATACTATTATAGTTATTAAATATTAATCGACACCAGCTGTACAACAGAGGGGTACCTACTTTCCCCCTTTTTCTATATGACTCAAATATTTTATAGTTATTTTTGTATAAATGTCATATTTTTTCATTTATTTAATTGTTTTTGTATTTATTTATATACTTGAATGGTTTTTAATTTACTATCTTATGATTATAAAATTACCATAGTGATCTCGTGAGCGAATTCGTCAAGTCTTCCTCCATACATAACTACTAAATGTAAGACATTCCTTTTACTGGAATCCTTAACTTGAATGTCAGCGCCCAATCGAATTAAACTTGCAACGGTTCTCCACCCCGACCTGCTGGCAGCTAACAACAATGGGGATCTACTTTCTTTGTCCAAAGCGTTTATGTCGGCTCCCTAAAAATATTCTGATATGCACTATATATATCAAAAAAAAAAAATGTACTTGAAATTAGTATTTACCTCTTCTATGAGGTATTGTACGATTTCAGATCGGTCAAACATAGCAGCACAATGAAGCGGCGTCATTTTCTGTACATCACAGGAACATAAGCACTGGGCCTTTTCATCAGGCTGTAAACCAAACATTAATCTGACTATGTCAATGGCTCCTTGAGCACAGGCCAAATGAACTGGAGTGGATAAATCATATTGTTGCGTTGAAATTTTAGCTCCAGACTTCAAACATAATTCCACAGCCTAAAATAATCAAAAACAGTTCAAATACTCGTATCACATTGAAATAAAATGGCATTTAAAATATTATTAATATTAATAATAAATAATAATATTTTAGTATTTGATCAATGCCGTTTCACTTTTAAATATATGTTTTCATCCAATGTTTTAAGTGATAAGTTTTAACTGAAATGTTACCATTGCTTCATTATTGTTTAATTATTAACAAAGCAAATAAACCAATTAAATAAAGCCAACGAATTTAGTTTCGAAGTTCACCTTTTCAGAAGAAATAAGTGAACTAAAAGTTAAGTTTTTGGAAAGATAATATTAGTTGTCATTATTGGTTAATATATGAGTTTTATTTAGTTTTGCTAAGTACTTGGATTTATAAGCCTCAACCATACGAGTGATTTTTCATGCTTATAATTATGATTAATAGTAGGTATCAATTCAATAGATTTGAAGGTAGGTATCTACTTACTTAAAAATATGTTACAAATTAGAGCAGTTTTACTTAATTTGAAATTAATTTTTAAATCTTTAATAAAATACCATTACGTGTAGTATGGTATACAACACAGTAGTTATCTGATTATTTAAATCTGATTAAATTTAAGTGTATTTAAGTTTAGTTTATATCTCAATATAATTCTATAATAAATTTAAAGTTTTAAATTAAAAACAAGGTTTTTATTGCTGTCATTTTTATGCGTAGATAATTTAATTCAGTGGTCTATAGTTGGTCTTTTAATACACACAAATATTCCAAATTCAAACACTCCGTATTATCTACATAATACTGTGTACAATAAACAACTCCCTTTGTGAAATTTAACCCCAATCCTTCAACTTGATATTTTACACCAATTCACTTGCTTTCCAATCATTGGTTTTGTATTTATTTACCTTAAAATCTCCACTGTGCACTGCAGAATGAAGCGGCACGTTTCCTTCGGCGTCGAAAAACGATATCATTTGATGTCGTGAATTGCCTCTGCTCTCAGCCCATTGCAAAAGTACTTCCATCGTTCTGGACGCTGCATTCTTTGCTGCTTCGTGAATTGGGTAATATCCATTGTGGCAAGGTTGTCTATTATCTGCACCCAGGTCTCGCATCTATAATCATTGAATAAGATACATTAATCTAATTAGAAAAAGTAGCACCAGCAGAAAATAAGCGCCCTTTATACTTCAACTTTTACATTATGTAAAAATAGTATTCATGATGATTCGATGAACAGTTATTATCACCATTGTCATTTTATATTATCACATGCTATATATACTTATTTAAACTATTTATTATAGTTATTGGTACATATAAACTGAAAACTTCGATTAGCTATAACTTCGTGCCCCAAATTCTGATTTCGCCAACATTTTTTTCAGCCAAAAAATGACTAAGTCCACCAAAAAAATGGGGTGTCCCGTAAAGTAGAAAAGTTCTTAGTTATTACTTTCCTAAGTCAAATAATCATTATAATCGTTAGTTTTGTAAAAAAGATATAATGCGCGTTAAAAATATGAAATTAATGCATTTTATGATTATTATTAATTCAATTTATAATTCTGTATGAATGTATAACAAAGTTAATAGAAAACAATTAATTTGGTGTAGGTACTTATGACAGCGTGGTGTGAAAGTCTACAAAAAAATAATTAGAATGTGATACGACTAGAAACAACTAGTTTATAAACTAATCAATAAAAAGAAAAATTATCTTTTAGGAATCTCGATTTTATAAAAATATTATATTGGTCAAAGGTTTTGTTGCGTAAAGGACGCTCATATATAGTATCTGAGACAAATATAGTCAAACCTTTATCGGACAAATATTGCACCGTTTCTTATAATATTTAGTAAATTTCCACGTCAAGCACATTTTGAATATTGTACATAAGAAACTGAAACTAATCCCATAGGTTCACAATGTATATTGATGTTATTACAATATGTTAATGATTACACATTACAACATATATGTGTGTGTGTGAGTTTACCAACCACTACGAAATTTAATACAATATAACGTTTTGCTCACGCTAAGAAGTTTACCTATATGACTTTCGATTTGGTATAGTATCTTCGTCAACGGAAAATATTAATTTTGAATCTGCGAAACTTGTGACCTGAAATGTGTCCGGTAAATAATTTTTGTTTAATGCACTACGGGATCAATAAGCATTTAATATTAATTATTAAATATCTAGTTGAAAATATACATTTATTTTTTAACGCGGGGATTGTAAACTAATTACGAAAATGTTCGTATTACATACCTAATCTATTCATAATCTCATACTTTCACTTGTACATACCCATATCTTTAACGGTATAGTGATATAGCTACTACGGAAGCAACAAAGGGTCAGCCATTGGCACTAATATAATATTTTAGTAATCATCTATTGTCGTACTATATTATGTATGAGATGGTCTTTGATCTGTTCGTTTTTAACACATTCGAATTAAAATATTTCGTTAAAACGTGGTTATTATGATTGATAGACATTTCATATTATAGTCATGCATTCGAAGACAGGTGTTTGTGATAATTTATGAGATAAAAAAACAGTGAAAACTTACGACACAATATTAATATAATAGTAGCTACACCACTAGCTGCATTTTGATCACAATATGGTCGATTGCAAAAATACTCACCAATATACGAGCACATTCATCATTATCGTGTATGGCAGCCAAGTGAAGTGCTGTCCTACCATGTTTGCCACCTTGGCCGATTTCGATCCGATCTTTGAATTTGCACATTACTTGAAGAACGGCTACGCGGTTTAGCTCGACCGCCAAATGTAAAGCCGCTTGCTTTTTGTCGTTCAATGCACTCGGGTCAGCACCACTTTATAAACGTATACATCACAACGGTTCAGAAAAATTAAATAAGTCATATACAGTAAGTTATAATTAGTTTGTGCATTCGAATTATAAACTATATAAATCAACATACGACAAAACTGAACAATTCAAAATATATTATTATATTATAACCATGGGATTTGTCATTTATTAACTATAAAGTGTAGTTTGTTAAAAATATTAATGATGTCTACAATAAAGTTTTTACTGCAGCGACAAGGTGAAGCCTCTGGGTAAAAAGACGTAGGTATACCTACTTTTTATGGTAGGTGTCTAATATGTACACTAGGTATTAGATTATATTTCTGACATACGTTTATCAGATTAACTTATTATTTGGTGTTTGAAAATTTGAAAAACATTAATAGTACAAACATATTATTAAGAAATATAAATATATTTGTAAAATATAATGGAGAGTTTTGCATATATATATTATATATATATATGTTATGAAGTGTACAGTATAATAACAAATAGGCTCTTAACATTAAAGTACCTAGCTTTAAACGGTATGCAGATATGTAATATGGGTAATATTAGTCAATTATGTACTCAGGAAATTATAAATAGTAATAAAGTTTAGTTCAAACTGACATGACGTGAATATAATTTTTAAACTCAAAACTGCAAAAAACTGGATGACATTTATGATTGTGGTGGATTCACATTTGAAGTATTGGTATAATGTATATTATACTGTATGATTAAATTACAAAAAATATCAAGATATAACAAATAAATAAACATGCTTGATCAATAAATAATATACGTATTTTAAAATGTAATTACCTACGTAAATATAAATATATAATAGATTTCCCACCAATATAACTTATACACCTTAGAAATAGATTTTTATTACGTTAAGTATACATTTTAAGTAATGTACGTGTGTATTAAATAAAACTAATACTTTATTTTAGGGAAACTGAGAAGTAATAAAGAAAATATCCTTTGAACACCATAACTAAGATTTAGAATCTAATTTATAAGTTTTAAAAAATAATAATAATATAAAAATACAGATCAGAAAATTTATGAATAATTATTATCTAACTTTAGAAACTAACATTATTAGAAACTAATGGTCAATTATATAGCTTAAGTTTTTTAAAAAAAATAATATAACGAAATTAAAAAAAAAATCAGACGTCAACTAAAAAGTCCACCGTCATTATTTTCAATTAGACGTAAGTTAAAACTTGTAGTTACGCAAATGTGTTTTATTTTAAAATTTTTAAAATTCCTGTTAAGTATTAATTTATAAAAAGTACTACCTGACATGAGCTGTAAACTAAAAACGAATGTCCATAATCTCTGTTTAATTTTAAAAAAAAGACTGTTTTAGACATGAAATAAAGTAATAAACACAACTACTCAGTGACGCATTTTAGTTATTTTTTCATTTTGACAAAACAAAAAATTGCATAACTGGCAAATATATTTAATATCCTAAAACCAATTGTATTATAGATACGCCATTTTATAAATGCAATACAAATTACTAAGTGTCAACCCTTCTCAGATAGGTGTTTTGGTATGCAAGACGTAACTTTGTGTTAACAATATTCACTATACAACATATTGTGACAAAATTGCACGTGTAATAATTCAGGACAGTTTGAGAAGACCTTGGTCTTACAAAAAATAATTTACTTCAAATATCTAAACCTAACAAATATCCCTGATACATCTATAATACTAATTTTAATATTGTATTACCCACGGTTGTAAATTTATCTTATTACAATAACAGGGCTATAGGTACGTAACAGTTATTTTTGTATTCAAATTAATTAAATAAAATCAATTTTTAGTCTGGTTATTCCATTTCTATTGATGTTTCCTTAAGACTTATTGAACAAAGCTTAATATATTTAAGAGGACGCTACACGACCATTTGTTGTCTCCGTCTTACAAGTGCGTAACATAGCAAATGGACGTTCAGCATATCACGTTTAGCTCCGTTAGTTTAAAAATTAGAGTGGATTGGCCTATTATGAAACATGATTGTATGAACATTATCTGTGTTTGTTTGAAGATTTTTTTGGTTCATTTTTTTAGCAAGTTATGCATACATAATATAGTGTTAATTAAAAATGCTCATAACTCACTTAAAAAATTAATAATCGTAAAAATAAAACATTCTTACTCAGATAATGTTCTTACTATCAAGTTTCATAGTAGGTCGATTAACTCAAATTTTTAAACTAAAGAAGCTAAACGTGTTCTGCTGAGCTTAAATTTGGTATGTTTTGGAGACAACAAATATCTATGTTTAGCGTCCTCTTAAATCATATTTATATGGTCAAAATATAATTTAGTTGTATATTGTTGGAATCACTAATTACCAGTTTTTGTTTTATGAATATTATTGTTCTTATTGTTCATGCAAAAGTTATACATTCTGTCAATAATACATAACTGAAAACGCCTATTACAATTATTGGAGGTCCACTATGTAGTAAAAAAGATTTACAAAGTCCTCAGAATAATTGCAAATGCCCCATGGTTTGTCAGAAATGCAAATCTCCACAAAGACTTTCAAATCCAAGAAATCAAAGATCATATAAAAACATTAGCAAAAAATTTCCACTGCTCTCTTCCAAACTCATCAGGAGCAATTCACTATAACCTCCTCACTCACCCAACTCATCGTCGATTAAAACGAGGTCGTCCCCACGACCTCCTACACTAAGCCACTTCTCAACATCCAGATCTCCACTCTACACACGCGCTTCCTCCAGATAACTCTACGACCTCTCTGCTACTTATAGTTATTAAATTATTGTAAATATGTAAATACTAGAATAATATTATTGTAATCACATTGTAACATCTGTAAATATCTTGCAATCACCAATTGTAAATTATCCTTAGTACTTATAAATATTTAATCATCATGTTAATACAGTTAAAACATAAGTATATTTTCAAATATCCCTAGACATAGATAGCCTTAGGCTAGGAATGTCTTAGTTTAAAATAATAAAAAAAAAAAAAAAAGTAAAAAAGATTTAAGTGATTTAATTATAATTATTCTTCAATCTATAAATATTTTATTTATTAATGCAATATTATATATTGTATAATATAAAAGAGTTAAAGTAAACAGGTACCTAGTTAGTGTAATATGTACACATAAAAAATTAGTAGATCTTATCAACAAAGAACATTGTAATCTTAATTATTTATTTCTTATTTATATTTATTTTGTAAATTGTGAACAATTGTATCTATTACAACAAAAGCTTGTGTTCGTTAAAGTGTACTTTTAATATTCATACTTATTTCATAAGTATATATTCTTTGATGTAATGATGCATTAATTTAGCTATTCTTTCAAGTACCTAGGTATAGTCAACTGCTTTCAGCTTATGAACATTTCTTACAATTTGTCGATTTACTTCTTGCATAGAATATTGATTAAAGTTGTTTGTAAAATCAGGATTTTCGATTTTTATTGCCATAGTTAATTTGAATAATAATATATCTTTTAACTACAGTTGTATACTCGGCTTTTCGTCTTACATTATTTTCCAAATGGCATTGGAATTCAAATCTATAACTATTGACAAAACCATTGTCTGAGCACTCTGAGCTGTAAAATTTAGTTGAGGCAAACTTATCGGAGTGACTGTGTACCTTCTACTTTTTAATTTTAATGATAAAACACCAGATAATCCAAGATCTCCGAGAGCATATATTCTATACTATAATATTAAACTATAATTGTACACATTATGCGAATTGAATTTTATATGAGGCAAATATTAATAGTTTTTCTCACATATGAATAATAATATATATGATTATACTTATAATGATTAATTCAGATTACGCATAGACAATTTATAGATTAGGTACTCTCCACAGTCCACTGAATGAATAGTTCATTTAAAATACAGATCCAATATTTAAAAATATTATTATACCTACTATGTAATTTAAAAATATTGCTTACTTTTGAAGCAAATATTCCACTGCATCCAGAGAATTGTGTTCAATTGCTATGTGCAATGGAGTGTTTCCACACGAGTCTTTTAAGTTCAAATCTATTGGAAATAAAATACAGATTTATTACTAAAGATAATCAATAAACAACTACATCAGTTACTGTTTTACGCAGTACAATTCCTGATAAGGAAATAGGAAGTCAATTTGATAAAATGTCAAAATCAGAAACGATAAAAATAGTATTATTTTATGATGGATATGACAAGCGAATAATAATAACTAGTCTATTACCAGGACATACATAGTAATATCTAGTTGATACCTACTGAATATATCATGAAAAATACACATAATACGATATTTTTTGAATGAATATGATATTCCACTGACATTCAAATATTCGAATGCAATGGGTAGATTTACATCATTTGTATATTATACGGACTTATTATGATCAAAACCTAAGACAATGATTGGCGAATGATGAACTATTTTTTTAACTATTACCTTTTATATTTTTCATATTACGCACAGAGTTTAGTTAAAAAAAAAGAGATTAATTATGTGTGGTTAAATATCAAAAAAAAAAAAAAAAAAAAATTAAAACATAGGTACCATTACTTCTATTAATATTTAATACCATACTTTCATAATGTATATTGATAATTTATTAAACTTAATTTTATATTTATTCTTCAAGAAATTATTATGCCCTACTTAACATGTTCGTATATAAATTAAATTGAACTGACGTAGTTATGGTAAGGGTCAGAACAGTGTCAAGCAACTGAGGGCCCCGGGGCAATTTGGGCCCCTTCCCTACAATTACACACAGGTAGCATATTAAGTGCAAATAAAGGCGCCCCTTACTTTTACAAAACTGTGGCGCCCGGGGGCAATTGCCTCCTATGCCCCCTTAACACGGCTGTGATAAGGGCTCATACCTTCTAGCATTTAAATATATTTTTTGAGAGGTCCTAGAGATGCCAGTATAAACTAAAAATTTGTTTCAGAAAACTAAGAAGTTAAGTACGAAATTGTATGTTTCATATTTTTACGTATTTCGAAGTTTAAATTATATTTTGTTTTTTTGTGTCTATTTCAGTACCGTAGATTCAAAACTTGTGAATAGGTACCACAACACGATAAACAATTTTGATGTTATATTGTTTTAATTTTTTTTAAATTATAAAAGTTTCATAAAAAAAAAAAATGTTTTGGTATACTTAATATTTTTTTTTAATATTTTATTATTTTTAGAGCATATTTAAGCACTTATATGAATGTTTTTAAGAGTATATTATTGCGATGGAACTTTTTTTTTAGAGCTATAAGTTATGAACCTCGGTTATAATTAATTAAACAGCAAAATAATACATCGATAACCATATTTATACGTATTTGTTAATTATAGAATAGTATAAAACTATTTAAATAGTTTGAATGTTTGATTTAATAATTTTAAGTTTATAGGTAGTTCTTCGTTGTAAATGCTCTATTAATTTAAATACATAGAAAAGAATTAAAAGAACAAAAAACCATTATAATTACTGACTATATGAATTATATGACATATTAAATTTATTATTACAACATATTTATAAACATTTAAATAAGTAAACTTAATTTGTTTTCAATAAATAAAAATGATTTATAATTTTATTCACAATTTTTAATATAAGTATACTGATAAAGATGAACTGAATATGGAAAAATATAGATCAATATTGTGTTAGTTGAAAGAATCACATTCGTCAAGAGAGCATCGCTTATGCAGAGAAATAGGATGAATAAAAAAAATCAATTTTGAAGTTACATTACTTCGTTCTCAACTGAGAAATATGATAAAGACCTATAGAAAAAAGATAAATTGTACATGTTCTTTAGGGGAATTGATATTGAAAATATTTCACAAATAAAAATGTCACCGCTGATTCAATGTTAGTTAAATTATAATAATTCTATTTTTAGTATGAGTAAATATTAATTTAAATATCTTAAACTTCCATTAAAGTATGTCAAACAACTATTATATTTTCGATTAGTCTTTGAATCGTGTTTATCAATTTATCATTATTGTGTCTGGCTAACAAAGTATTTGAATACGAAAGCATATTATTGAATAAATTCCGCGATTTCATAAAAATACAAATAGTGTCTATCTCACTGACATCAATCTATTTGTATGTATGTATTTAAAAAAATAGGTGAGTTTTAAAAATAATTTGTCAATATTTTCTGTATTGACCTTAAAAATCGCTAAGACTGTGATATAATAATTTGTATTTATTTCTTAACTAACACCCCGACGGATTATATATAAAATCAATTATTAACTTTAATATTATTAACTTTGTCTCTATTCCATGGAATATGCATAACATTAACACTATAAAAAGACTAACCACATCACTACATCAGTCACATCCATTAATCTGTCCATCAAGCACGCAACAAATAAAAATTATCTATCGCAAGATCAACTCTTTGAGCATTATTGTTCTAAAGTTCTCAAGTCAATATTACCTAGTCAATTAACCTATATTCCATACAATTAAAATACAAGATAATTTTTTATTTAAAATAAACAATGATTAAAATAGGTAGGTATATAATATGGTACCTATACCAGGAGATTACCAATAATATATATTATAAATTATTATTTTATTATTTTAATCGAGATTTAAAGTTAGATTACGAGATGCGATACGTCCTCTTACTATATACAGTATACACACAACACATATACATATCACATATCAATATAGGATCGTATAATATTTACCTCCACCGTGATTACGAATAAATTTCAATATATTTAATTTATTTCTGGCAGCTGCTTGATGTACGGCTGCTCGACCTTTCGAATCTCTCACTTCTAGACGAGCTGGTTCTGCTATAAAAAGACGGTTGAAATCATCTAAATTACCACTTTCGGCGGCCTGAAAACATATTTTCAATATCTGAATTATTATTTACTTAGGTAAGTATTCTAACAATAATATTTATTGCAATTATGTTACCCCGAAAAACATTTTCCTAATAAAACGCACATAATTATAAAACTCCATACATAGAACCCCTAATATGTGTTGTAGGTAGTAGATACTCTAAAACTTTGAAAAAAATAACTGCTTAAAATAATTGCATACACATTAAAAATTTATTTAGGCTAAAGTATAAATATAAGCTAATACAATTTTCTTTTTTTTTTATATAGATTTAGTAACATGAATTTAATATGCTTGAATAATTTATTTCAGATTTCTTCACTTATTGCAATAAGTGCACCAATGGATTTCAACAATTGAAATTGAATATTAAAATTTAATAAAAATTTCATTTCAAACTTATTGAAATATATTTTTATGTTACATCCATAAAATGTAAAAAAATTGAATATAGATATTATCCGACAATCAAATGTTTTATATTGTGTCGGAAATAAATATTACACAATAAAAAAGAATTAAGAAAAAAGATAGTTTATATAATATTACACAATATAACATACACAACAAAATATTGTATACCTATACAATCTATATACAAATACAAACCAATGTCAATATAAATAAGACATAATAATCTACTTATGAGTACACACTATTCGGTGTTAAAAAGTAAAAATAAAAATAAGCTCTTGCTTGACAGATAAAGAAAACTACCCACTGGTGAAATTACTGATGGAAAATTCAATTCTAAACTCACCTCTTTGTGGTAAATCCTGAAGACGTTAAATTAATATTAATCACCTAGTTTAAGGTCACCATGGTCATTCTAGTATTTTATAGAAAACCATTTCTATAGTGTCATGTGAACATGTAGTTTTATTACGTAATTATATACTTAATGATTAAATGTTCTAGATTAGGAACATTATTTAAACTTCATGACAGTAAAATTTAGTTTTTTTAAATACCTAATACCTACAGAGATTATTCTAAGAAAATAACATTCTCATTAACTGTTTGAATTAATTAATATCTATATCTATAAATACGAGTATCGGAGTATGAGACCATTAACGCTTCAACATTTTATCTGGAATTGAAAATTCAAGAAGAAAAAAAGAAATTTTTTTTTATCACAACACTTATTGCTTATCGATTGTTTTTAATAGATTAATACAATACCTATTTGAAAATATCCTAAAGAAGACAGATGAAAAAAATTTAATTTGTTTTGTATGACAATAAACTTAAAAAATAATATTGTACCTATTTCATCCAAACATCATTTCCAGCATCACCAATGTAACATTATCAAATGTTTTACGTATTATTGTTTCGTTCTGTTTATTCATGAACGCTTGACGAATTTAACAACGTTTACTTTCGTAATTTTATTTATTTTCTTTAAAAATATATATATATTCTAAAACTTCAAAAGATTTGTAAACATTTATTTACAAATCCACACGAATTAAATAACTTGTCTCCTAGTAGGTATCTTCAAATACTATACGGGTAGGTATATTTCAATTATTTAGAACTCATACCTATGTACGAAATGTATAGATGAAACCCAGGAGTAGTTGAAATTAATCTTATGTATATATTACTATTTATTATGATTGTTACCTAACAATAATAATATTTGTTAGACAAAAATAATTACATATTTGAATTAATAGTCTATAATAATATTAACATAAATATTTCTAGAATTCTATGCATATTTCAATATTTAATTAATCCTCTGGTGTTAAAATTCCAATAACAGCAATAAATTATTCCCACTTATAAACACAAATTCTATTCGACATCAAAGATGTAAATTGTATCATTCGTATAAAAAATTCGATGAAGCATCCTAAATTATATAGTTTACAAATGTATAATAATAATATATAACTGTACCTATTCTCTGTATAATATTATAAAAATATAGGCATATGATTCAAAAAATATCTCCGTGTACTAATAAATAATAATAATAGGTATATGAAAGCTCAGAAGTCGAAAGTCTTATTTACAGTGACTTGGTGGATACCTCAGTAATACCTTGGTGGTAACCTCGCTTCTCAAATCCAAGATAAGGTTATTATAACACTGCATCGATTACAACTTAGGCAAGTTCAAGCCTAATAGAATAAATGTACTTACTTTTTTTCATCAATTAATCGTGTTTAAATACAAAACGATTGGGGTCAATATAAAAGAAACATTAAGTTTTACAGACAGAAAAAATGAAATTAATTTATTCGACGATGATATCATGATATCAATAAATTAAATTAGGTACCTACTATATTTTTGTATTGTCAATCACTTTCAACATTTGTCACTTCTAAATTACGAGTACCTATATGATCGTTCGATTTTATATACACCTACTGGCAATATGGCAATATGGCCATTGTATTTCAAATTTTCAAATGTAAATTTGTGAACAGGTGTTGTTATATTATATATTTTCTTAGAAAGATGCAATATGTATTTTATACATAGATAGTTTTTCGTAGTCAATTGTAAAAACTATGCAAGTTAGTACAATAAGAAATATTGAACAATTTATATTTTTAATACCGATGATGCTTATCATAAGAATATAAAAAAAGTAAGTAGGTATAATAATGTATAATATATTATATCACATTCATTCAAGATGCATCTTAGAAATACAATTATTATTATTATTATTATTATTATTATTAAAATTGTTTATTATCTAAAACTAACTGAAATTTTTTTTATTATAATACAATATGAGTATAATTTTTATTAGATCAAATTTATTATTTATATTATTATAAAAATTCTTATTTATCAATGCAGTTAAATTTAAGCTCGTGAATAGTGACAGTATAAACTGTCTAAAAGAGATATAGAAAGTAACTATTTAATAAAGACAAAATATAAACTATGTAGAAAATGTAATTTTAGCACCAGTAAATAGCTCAGTTGCCTAAGCTTAATCTCAATAAACTATGTAAAAAGGTATAACTTATAACTTTATAAGGTTAAGAACTTAACATTTTATCCTAATATTGCGCAAAGAGGGGAAGAGAGAAATACTTTTCTAATTTATTTGTCTATATCGCATCACAATAAATGATTTATAAAACTTAAATGTTGATTAATTCGATCAACACTTTTTATTATTTCAAATTGTATTTGGTTTTTTGGGAGTCATTCTGGTATATACAGAATAATTTCGGTGGTCACGTTCAGTTTTAAGTTGTGCATCAATGGATTAAATAAAAATTACAATGTATAATATACATGAACAATTAAGCAATCTAAGTTTAAAAAAAGTTATTGAACAAAGTTTTAAAATGCATAATTAAAAATAAAAAATTTTTATTTGCCATCTTTAAAAATATTTGAAAATATATATATAATTCTATCATAGAATTTACATTGTTTAACAAGGTTTTATTTAATTTTTCAAAGTGCCTATTAATAATATTTAATGTAGTTTGCCTCACAGCTCTTTTCAAATTAATATTGTAAAGTAGGTACATAAACTTTAGCATCGCAGATAATATCTATATTATTTTAAATTGTTCGTGTTTCTTAAATATAATATTATCAAACATCAATTTTACATAAAATAAAATAAGTAATCAATTATAACAAAATATTATAATAATTAATAATTTCTTATACTTCAGAATTCGGAATGCCAATTGTTTTTTTTTTTTTTTACACCTTTACTTTTATCTCTGGGGGTTGTTATGAGTAAATATATACAATCGGTGTATAAATATATAATGTTAACAAAAGTATAGCTGCTCAAGTATTACATAATTTGTAATATAAAATTATAAATATAATAAAAGCAACATATTTTTATTTCATACTTCATAAAATTAAAAAAGTATTTAACTCAAAAAAAAAAAAATAAATACTGATTACAATACTCATATTTATAAAGATAATTTTAACCAATGCATAATATAAAAATAAATAAGATTTTCGTTTATTCATATTTATTATATAATTCCCATTATCTCGTACCTACTCGTGTAGTCTTGTAGTGTGTACCTTACTACCTTATAACTTATAACTACATTAAAATACGTCTTAACTCTAAATCCAACTTTAAGGGGTTTTAAATAGGCAACTTTAATGCGGACCGGAGATAAATTCAAATTTTTATTATAAAAAGTGAAGAACTTTATCTTAGTATTGTAAGCTGAAGCATTTATGTTTTTTTGATAATTTTCCTGAACAAATGTATATATAATTCAAGAAATATTTCAAGAAAAATTATCAAATGTTTAAAAGCTAATCTATATAGTATCAGTTAGCATTGAAAAAGATAATAACAAAATACATAATATTATCATCAATAAATTTTTTTTGTTAGTATAATACAAATTCGTATATTTTATTAATTATTATGAATATTTACTGGTCGTTTTATTAATAAATAAATATTGATTATTTAAAATTGAATGTGTTGATATCAAAATCATTTATAATAAAATGTTAGATACTTAATACTCAATTAAAAGATACTTTATAAGTTATATAATTTAATAAATATTTTTATTAATACTTAAAGATAAAAAAAAGAAATAAAACTTACACACTAATGAATTAGATGCTGAAATAATTTCGGGCGTTTAGTACAGTAATATGAATAAATTTGTTTCTTATTCTTACCTTAATTAGTTCTTCTGAAGATAATTTCTGAATTGCCTTGCAACCATAGAATACTTTATGCCATTGTCTTATGACCTCCAAAGGTGATGAAGTCATCATATCAGTACAGACGTTGAATAGTTTTGTGAAAAAAGCCAACACTGATCCAAAAATTACAGGAGTATAACACATAACATGAGAAACTTCCAACCAAAATATGAACCAATGTCCAATTAGCAAAGAGATCGCAATTATATTATTATATATTAATTTTATATATGGATGTATGATAGTTTAATTGTCAATAAAATGAAACATCAATTTATTATTTTAAATAATTTATCGATAATATATAATTTAAAAATATTTAAGACAAATCTTTTCATGAATTAATAATTAAATTTATAAATAGTTCTATAAATATATTTGTTTGGTCTTTTTTTTATTTTTATATTGAAAACGTAATATGATAACATTAATTAAATTAATATTTATCTATAGGTAGTTAATAAAAAACAGTATGTAAACTTACGTTTAAAAAATTGTAAATTCAAATACTACATAAACCAACAGCAGAATAAAATTTAAATGTATCATTAATCATTAATCAATTCGAATATTATCGTCGGTATTTTTAAATGTACAACTTTTTAACCAAACGTAAATTATGCGAGACTGTACTAGTATGGATGCATGTAAGGACTGAAACGCCGAACACGACAAGGGGTGAATAATATACGCCATGGTTGCTGTAACGACCTCTAGATGTGAACGTGTGATTAAAGGTTTAAAAGGAATCTTATGGTGGTGACTCGATGTAAAATAAAATAAATTTAAACCTATAGCATTTTACATATAATTATGTAATATCGAACAATATTTTGATGAGTGATGTCACTGCAATAATCTCGCCCTTCTATCACGTCACACTGTTCGTAATCTCACACTAAATTTACATAGGTAGGTATTGTTTTACTTCTACAGATTTTAAATTCTCGTATTTTTTTTATTTTCAATTAATAAAAAAAAAACAACAATATTTTACAATACTACTTTACGACAGTTAGTTAGAATAAAATGTTGTTAAGTTTAATCGTGTAGTGTTACACTTTTACTTACGTGTTCTCATACACTCTTAGAATTGTACTGAACCTAATTCGTGTTCATTTCTTACTACTTGATAATAAAATAAAATAATTCTATGGATTTAATTATGTTTATGTCTAGAAATGACACATAAGAAATTTGATTGGACTCCCACAAAAATACAAAAACTGCATAATTTTTAATTTGATTAATAAATACCATTAACTTGATTACTAATCCATATTTGTCCTCTCTCTTTCTCTCTCTCCGTTAATTTGTCAATGAATCAATTTTTGCTTTTTAATGTTATTAGGTTCGTTGCAACAATTTAAGTTTATCAAATCAAAAACAATAAAGCAATTATTAAATAATATACAAAATACAGCCAACAGGAGACAAAAAAACATTTTAAATAATCATGTTTACTTGAAAACCAAGTCCAATCATTATATTAGGTATCACAGTATTACATCGACTACAATATGTGTTTTAGGTGAATATGAAATCATTGTTTTACTGTAATTATAACTAATAAGTTAATAGATTTGTTACATTAATTGTAACAACATAAACCTGCGTGTATATAAAATTGAAAAGATAATCTAATTTACTCCTACCAATAAAAATTCTAAAATATCTACAATAAATCAAATTCATTATGCAGTATTGTACAAATAAATATTTTATATGATTATTAAATAGGTACAACTAGGTATATATTTTAATCTTTATCATATATTTTGTGTTATAATAAGTATTTATTTTTTACGAATGTCATGACAATATGTGTACTTACTTATTCTTATTTTATTTATAATAGTGTTATTTGTTTTGTATGGTTTTAAAATACATAATTTTCAAGTTTTTATATAGGGTATTATTAAACACTAAATGTGCAATATTTTGATATTATTAGACATAACATATTATTTATTTTTAAGTTTTAAGTTTTTCCCAATGTTTAATGTAGCCTTCAATAACTGGGAGACAAAACAAATTAAAAGTTTACAAAAAATAAATAAAAGTAAATTATTATCTATAAAATAGGTAATTAAATATTATATAAATCTACCTCCATTTGTTGATCCTGATATAAAAACTAAGAGTGGTTTTATAAATATGTACAAATTTGTTTTTAACAAAAGATAATAGATAATAATAGGTTAGTCAGTTAGTGTATAGCACTGTACAAGGTATCTATGCCATAATAAACACTTAAGTACCTATAGGCAAATTATATTATTTCGAATTAATAAAAATAAGTAATGCGTATATTAAGCCAGTAAGATTTTTTCTTCGAAAAATACCTTTTTGGACAGTAAAAAACTAAAAAATATTGAACTAAAATTATATTTTGTATATGTAAGGGCGTAAGGCTGCATTTTATGATTTTTTTAATAGTAGTTTTCGATACAATAAATGATTAAATTGACTGTAGTTGTAAGTTTGTAAGTTTGTTTTTAAAAGTAAAGACACTGTTGCTTCTGTGCCATACCAAATTTCTATACATTAGGTACATAAATTTGAAATCACACAAATATCTATAGCTGATTTGTTTGAATGCAATTTTTATTTTGAGTATAAGATCTTCACTTTTAATTAAGTTAATATACCATCAATTTGGATCATCCGTAGATGCTTACAAGTACTTTTTATAAAAGCTTGAATATACAAAAAAATCTTATATTGATCCTAAGTACACATTATTTACATGATAAATCAAAGCTCAGAACTGTTTTCAAATTTAATGATTCATCATATACCTAAAACCAAACTGCGTAGTTTTTCCATACTTTTTTTTAGCAATATGTTAAAAAGAGTACACTCCAATTCTTTGTATACAATATTCGGATCATCTAAGATAAAAATATAAACTTTACAAGTATCAATATTTCAAAAATTGTCCTCATTTGAATAAAAAAAAAAAAAAAAAAATGAAGAGGGAAACATCAAAACATACTTAGGTAAATACATAATAGTAAATAAAGATAAAATAAAATCAATACAACATGTATGTACGTAGTACATACCTCCTTGAATTAATTTTGTTGGTTTATTTAAAACAGTTCTTACTGAGATTTTATAAAATGTAAATTGTATTTTAAAAATAAAATCTATAGTATCTAAAATATTAAATAACGTAACTCCTTATTTAGACTCAAGAAACTGCATAGTTAAAATATTTAAGTACTGATATCTGGTAATTTTTCTTTGTATGTATAAATTATAATAGATAGTATACGATTTAAAATAATAATGTATTGAATATGTTTGTTTGAAAGCCCATCATATTATCGCAATTGTTCAAATATAAATAATATAAATTAAACATAGGTACACTATGAATAAATAAAAATAATTACAATTCATCAATCGTTAGCAGCTAATAGTCCGACTATTTATATTAAATTAATTAGATGGCATTAAATTTCCTTTTAAAAAGTAGGGTTGATAAAAATATACATAGTAAAGCTATTTACTGATAATTACAATTATAAATATTATGATAAATTCACATCGATTTTATTAATTTAAATTGAGTAATGAAATTGAATTATAATTATCTATCTACTAAAAATGTGTGTGAGTAATTACAAAATGAATGAATTACAATAAATATAATTTATCTACAAAATATAAACCATTTACTATTTACTAAATATAAATAGGTATTATCAACTAGTTACTTACAGTTCATTATTTGGCAGGAACACATGACTTGACGAACAACATTTGTACAAATAAACAGTTGAAGTCAAATATTATATTTATATACATTATTATTTATACAATATCAACACTTATTAGATTTCTTAAAAATCTATAAACGACCTTATACCTAGTACTTAAAATTAAATATTGTAATATGAATTAATGAAAAACATTAATTAAGTTATATAACAATGAAAATTCACGAGGAAAAAAACGTGTAACAATATTATGTTTTTAACTCGTGACCCCAAGGCCCAAAACATAGTAGGTACCTATTAAACAATAAACATTTAATTTTTAAATGATACATAAATCAATAAACCTCAATTTTAAATGTAAATACGTTGTAGTGTTTTTGTATAAAATGAAAATTAATATGTTTTGTATTTTTATACGGAGCGCATGAAACGTTATTATAACCTATGTAAGCAATAACTAATGAGTAATATAAGAGGATGATAGTACATTATTACATGTATCACAATAACGACAACAATTTAAATTATCACTTAACTAAATTAGTCCTTAATATCTACTTACATGGTATGCCTTCAATTTCATATTCCCAAGATACTCAATTTAAATATTAACTTTATTGTACACAAAAGATAACTAATTACAGATAAATGCCTGCACTTAACAAAAATGCAGAATTTTACACATACGTCTAAAACAGCTAACTAACATCAAAATCTCATGTTTTAAACAACCTGTATTAATAATAAACCAGTATAAATGTATAATATGACATATTAATAATGGATATCAAAATCTGAAAGAAACAATATCATATACAGCATCGAAAAGCTGTGTAGGTACTTATTGTAGTGGAAAATATAGAAACAAATGTTCGTCCTACCACAATACCCCACGAGTGCTCGATATAATACCTATATCACTGTAGTATAATTTCAATATTAAAATAAATTGTACACACTACACGAGTACACAGTAGACATTAATTCCAGCGCTATACAGGCACGTAGCCAGAATATTTCTGCTAGGGGGGCCAATAATTGTTGGCCCTTTTATCATTTTCCATAATTTTTTCCAATGCAATACTTGAAGGGGGCTTCCCTTTCACACTCATCACTAGATGGTATGCCGTATAAAGAATCTTATTAATTTATAATTTACCTTTGATTGGTAGTTGGTTAAAAAAAAAAAATGTTTTCTCAACAAGCTCTATTACAGACTACAGTATTACAAATATATATAGTACCTGATTAAAAAAATAACCAAATTACCTACATCTTTACTTTTGGGATACATTTGTCATGTTATGAAAAATAAATCTACATAAGTACATGTTTAGAATATAAACTGATTAAATTTTCAAACTTCTATTAACAAAAATTAATTTATATCTAAACACTAATCAAAAATAATAGAAGTAATAATTGATTTTTATTTTAAAAAACAAGTACACAAACAAGGAGAAAATATTAATAATACAATACCTAGTAGTAATACCGAAGTACTTATATACATATAAAATAATAAATAGTAAGTAACTGTATAAAACAATTCGATTTCGCATATAATTTTTCAGTCGTCTCAGTAATTACTGTTCCAGTATCAAGTGCAGCTTGTGAAAGAACTTTTTCATGTCTGAGACGACTGAAAAATTATATGCGAAATCGAATGACAAATGAACGTTTAAATAATTTGGCTTCAATAAGCATAGAAAAAAAAATTTCTAAAAACTTAGATTTAGATATTTTTGTACAATTGTTTTCAGAAAATCATAAAAACAGTTACTTACTAACTGTATAAAACAATTCAATATAAAATTATTTTTCTGTTTTTATGATTTTCTGAAAACAATTGTACAAAAATATCTAAATCTAAGTTTTTAGAAATTTTTTTTTCTATGCTTATTGAAGCCAAATTATTTAAACGTTCATTTGTCATTCGATTTCGCATATAATTTTTCAGTCGTCTCAGACATGAAAAAGTTCTTTCACAAGCTGCACTTGATACTGGAACAGTAATTACAATAGTAGCTAGCTTATAAGTTTCATTGAAAGCTAACTTATACTTCTCAAGTAGTTCAATTAAATTCACTAAGTTGTTTACTTTAACATTAATATTTTGAATTTGATATTTCTTGATAGTTGTTGGTAAAATTTTTAGTTCTGCCCTTAGTATTTCTAGATCAAGATTATAATGAACAGCTAAAGGTTTCAAATGTTCATAACTTAAAAACTGTTCATTTTGGGGATGTAAGTAAGATATTGATGACAACACACAATAATTATCTGTAAATCGTGCTTCTAGTTCTTTTATTATATAATCCAACGCAGGTATGTAAACATGTTGTCTTAAACCATTTTTTGATAAAACTCTATTAGTTTCTAAAGAACTGTTCTCAGTAAATATGTACTGTTTAAATTTTTCGGGGACTTTTTTTGTTCTTTTTTTTTTACTATGTTCATTTGGTATCGATATGTTATTTTCTTTACAAATATTTACAGCCCCTATGTACATTTTATTAAAATTGGAATTATTGTTCTCGGTTTCATCAGTTCTCATGGCTTTAAAAGTAGTTATAATTGATGAAATAAGTATTAAAGATTCAGCCATTTCAGCTTTTACATTTTGCAAATAATCACTTGTTGTTTTTAGAGTTTGAAGAATATCACAAAAGATAATTAAATTAAATACAAAGTCAAAATCTATTAAATGTAGTAAGCCCTTTGACTCAGCTGCACGGTCACCTTTCTCAAATATCAATTTATTTAATAAAACTAGCAGTGGACTAAGACCTTTTTTTAATGCTAAGCAAGCAAAGACTTGCGCTGTCCATCTTGTCAAACATATCCTTTTAAGTTCAACAGCAGGTCTGTACTTCATAATTGTTTGAATTTCCATAAACTTTGAATGTATAGCAGAACCAGATACAAATACATATAAATTTTCTACAATATCAAAAAACATTTTCACAGTTGGAATATTTTTGCAAACGTCAGAAATTACAAGATTAAGCCTATGATTGTAGCAGTGTACATATATAGCCTGAGGTACTTCTTGACGAAATAATGCTTGTACCCCATTATTCTTTCCACTCATGACACTGGCACCATCGTAGGTTTGAGCAACACATTTCAGTATATCAACATTATGAATAGAAAGTATTTCTTTAATATATTGAAAGAGAGAACTAGCGGTCAATGATTGAGCAGCTTTAAACCCCATGAAACGTTCATATACTATACCATCTAAGTAATATCTTAATATAACTGATAACTGTTCCACTTTAGTAATATCTTTTGTTTCATCAACAATTATAGAAAAATACTGACACTTTTGTAATTCATCAATAATTTTGTTACGGATCATTTTATTGAAAATTGTAAACATTTCATTCTGGATTTGAGGGCTTGTATATTTAGCATTATTTGGTAATGTTTTACTTTTACTTTTAAATTTATCACTAATATCACCAATTAAATTTAAAAGTTCAATGAAGTTACCACGGTTAGCACAACTTTCTTCTTCATTGTCACCCCTCTGTGCTATGCCTTGAATAGCGGTGTACAACAATGTTCTCCCAATCATCTTGATATAATTTTGATTTTCTAAAACTAATTTCTTATGACCTTCATTTATCAATGATGCCACAGACAAATTACCTAATTTTTTCATGTCTAAGTAGGACATCCACATAGTGTTTGAAATCATGTGTTCTTCACTATTATTGTGTTTCCTTAAACCAGAATTTTGATCTAATGCATTTTTCCAATTTTTGAAACCTACACTTATGAAAATGGGTTTGTCTTTGTTTTTGGCAAAAAAACGACATGGAAAACAAAAAGCAGAATTATCTATTATACTATACTCAAGCCAATTATAACTATCAAACCATTTTGATGAGAAATGTCTCATTCTTTTACCAAATTTGGTTTTAGGGTAACATACCAATCTTGGCTGTTTTGGTCCATCATCTAGGGTTTGAGAAATATCATTTGGTCCAGGAACTTGTTTAACGATTTTGACTGATTGGCTGCTTGTAGGAACAGATGTAATATCACTAGCTTCATCAATTGCATCTTCAGATTCACAGTCATCAATATCATCACTACTTGTGTTAATATAATCCAGATTTGATGTAATATCACTATAATTATCATGATCATCGTCACTAGAATCATTTCCCCTTGTTTTTTTGGTCTCACAGTCTGAAAAATAAAAAACAAATTTTTAAATAAATAAAATATAATTACTTATATAATATAATTTATATATAATTTAGACAGTTTGACAACATTAAATTTTAAATAAATAACATAATTAGTTTATATAATGTTGGATTGCATAGAATGCTTATCTAATATTTTAAAATTAATATATACATATTATATTTATCTAATAAAGTTAATTCATTACAATCATTCTTCTCAGTAGACCTAAATGGGGGTAGGTACTGGTTAGTGTTTAAAAGTCATTAATATTCAAAGGTACAAAAAATATTATTATTATATGCAACCCAAAATAATACTTAACATATTATAATAAATATAAAATATAATATTATAAAGTAGGTATAGATATTTCATCAATTCACCATAATTATAAATATATTTAAAAAATATTTTTAATTATATTTACCAGCATCTTCAAGTTGTAATTTATAAGTATCTATAGAGAATGATGGTTCCTTGCTGAAGACTTTCTCAGTTGTAAGTTCAAAATTACAGCTACCTGATAAATATAAAATACAAATATAAATTAATTCTCTGTAAAATAAAAATTGCTGTAGTTTATATTTTATGGTATAAAATATTGAAATATACAAGAAGGTAATTTGTAATTATAAATAGTAATAGGTACTTACCAGAAGGGGAGGAATTTATATTTTCAACAGCATCAAATTGAGTACAATTTTTTTTAGCACTTGTGGCGCTAGTATTACTAGTAAAATAATCGTTTATACGTTTCATTGCATTAATAAATGTATTCACAGTTCACACAACGGCACAACACACAGTTAGACGGTTAACATTCAGGAGTCAATACAAATCAAATTGCAAAAAAAGAATATGCCATTAGGATATAATAATTTAACATGAACAAAATAAAACGTACAAAGTCAAAACCATGCATAAATAAACATAAGCATACTCCATACAGTTGGGCATCACTGCTGGACATAGATAACTGCACCCGACTCATATTATGTTCTAACTTAGATAATATAGTTCTATGTTTGTTTATTTTGAAGTATTAGTGGAAATATGGAGTCTTTTAGCTTTTATATACTCTATATATAAACATAATACATATTATCTATTATAATATAATAATATATTGTTCTGGGAAAATAAACAACAATAATCAGAAACAACGATTATCGATATCTAAAAATAACGAAAACTAAAACTATTACGTCCACGTCGTCAACGGCGTTGAAAGTGTTCATCATATTACATTATTTAATAACGACGCCGGGTATGCACTGATGACTGCAAGCTGCCCGGCTATCTAATATCTATATATTATCTATTATTGTCTATGAAACTGGTATGTCTATCAATACCTTATTATTTTTTTTTTCAGAAACGTTATCCACGAATATAAAAATGAATTATTATAATAATAATTGTATTACCTATAGTAATATACTAATATCACACTATACCACTATATCATATAGGTATAGTAGTTGTATAATCACAATATATTTATTTCAATGTGCACAATCACATTTTTGATAATTGGTAAAATAATTATATTTTGAATTTCAGGGGGGGCCGGCCCTGGGCCAGAGTAAATTTAAGGTGGGCCCGGCCCACCCAGGCCCCCCCCTGGCTACGTGGCTGGCGCTATAAATATCAGTGATTTCCTTGGTTTAAGTATAATTAAAAACTGAGAAAATGAATAAATATTTCCATTTATTTACTTTTGGGATATATTGTTACAAAGCTATTTCTTAAATAAAAAAAATGTCAGTTTAATTTGTTTTATTTTATACGCTACTATTTTCCAAAAAAAAAACAAATTATTTAATAATATAAAATGTACTTGAAAAAGAATTAACGTTTTGAATAACAAAATAAATGCGTAGGTATACCTATAGGTACCTACCTATTTTATTCATCCATAAGTATTTTTTAATTTAACACACAATCACAACATTCAGCACTCAACTTTATTTTTTATATCACGTTAATACCTATAACACATTTTATTATTAATTTTCTTACTGTCCAAACATCCAAAACTTTAACAAAATTTGCAATATAATTTTAAAAAGCTATATTGGTTTTAATCACATATATTAATTACTATTTATATACATTATACAAAATCAAAATATATTATACATGGGTATATAATTTCTTATCATATGCGAGCATTGCATTTAATACTGCCATACCAATTAAGTTTTGTATAATTTTATATTAACAGTTAACTAATAACTATTATAACTAAGCATTTTATTTTATTATAACTAATAATTACGTGTATAATATTATATTACTTACTCTCAAAATTCTGTAAGGGCTGTCCGTCAACAAACATACGTCTCCGTCAACGGTAGAACTCTGACGAAAAATAAGTGGTGTAAGGCAAAGTTTTTCACTTGACGACAACATACGGCCTGTACCGCCAACTTTACTCCCGTGTATTCTTCTCATTTGAATCAACTGCCACAAACGATGCTTCTAAACAACAAAATTGGAAAACACGGCTTAAAAAAATATAGGTAAACCATGAATAAAATATTGTTCTAGAACAACCAACCCATAACGTGACATAGGCTTATTATAAAACAACCCTATAATACCTATACGTTATAGGTTTAACCCTTTTTCGAAAACTTGATAGTTTGTAAAATGTTGTGTGTCAATATAAAATTACTTATTAAAATGCAGAAGATATATCACATTTACTTTAATGTCTCCGTCATTAATTGACAACAAAAAATGTAAATAGGTAGCTGAAATACATTGACTTCAAACGATTGTATTATTGTACACGTTACGAATTATTAGTGTGCGTATTCAATTTAATATTAATTTGAATGTCATATTTGGTTTTGATGACACAAACCACAAGGTAAAACGATACAAAAAATAAAACGAAAATATTTACATTTATTATTTTATTATTTAACTCAATTTAAGTAGATTTTTCTAGGTACTCGTAAATGATTAACTATAATTTAGTTCAAAATGTATTTTAACACAAATAGTACGGTACATTTTAATAATAAGCGTGGGAAATATGTTATTTTTCTTCGAAAATAAAACTTTAAGCAGAAAATGTGATGACTATACCTGAAAAATGTATCATAAAAATAATTATTGAAGAAATGTTCAAAACATGATTGACCGTATTCAAATTTTCAGTACTTTACGAGTTAATAAAAACTAGAATAAACAGTAAAATGTAGGTTGAATTTTCCAAATTGAGAATAATTCTCAACTTTTAATATTACAAATAATAATAGTTATATTGATATTAAATTATTTACCTATAATAAGAAATGTTCATAACTTTAAATTAAAATTAGATAACTACACAAGAAAAGGACATTCACCCACAAGACAGGGAATCATTTTGATGTTTTTCTAAGGAACTTCAAATATTTTGATAAAACATAATATTATTATAATATACTATAAATATCATTTTTGTCTGTTTTGGATATTTTATCGAAACATTTGAATAAAATATGTATCTATACTATATTCAAAAAATGTTTTAACATTTCTCCGCTCATTTTTTTTACGATAACTTGAAATTTCAAAGTTAATGGTAAAGGCGTGAAGCAGCACTGTAGCAGACGCCAAACTGTTTATGTCAGAATATTTTGTTTCAAATATTTGTGATGATTTATTATTGATTTCAAAATTATTTGTATGTAATAATATATTAATAAGTATTTTTAATCTTATATTGTTTTCAAAACTCTTCGTAGTAGCCAGTGGGTAGAAAAAATCCATGTACCAGCTATTTCATCACAAAGAAGTTCAAAAAGAAATTAAACCTATAAAAAGTGTTTGTATACTTTCGCTTTTCAAAATATAAAAAAAACTTGCTATAGTGGTTCTGCATTATACTTTGATAGTACAACATATATATAAGTACAACATATTAAACGTCAGAAAAATTCTTTAGTGTACATATTAAATGGGAATCCTATACTAAAATATTTTAAAAGATTCCTGATTTCCAGCATTATTCTGAATTGAAACGTTTAATGTATTCCATAACTAATATAGAAATTATAATTTAATTCATAAATATGCAATTTGTACACATTATTTATATTAACTATGAACTTGTTACGTGTATGGTATAATTATTAATTTTTAAATATTAATAATACAAGAAATGTTTGGCATTTTTCAGAAATATACTAGAAAAATAATTTGTTTTAAAAATATTATATTATATTATGACGTAAATAAAAATCTGTAGTAAGAGGGTGTCAATAATTTCTGAATGCAAATCATTATTCAGTAGCTCAACAAAAAATCTTTAACTGACTAATGAATGTATAATGTATCTTATCGTAAAAAAAATTAATAATTTTACAAGAATAAATGGATGTGATTATTTCAAAATAGTTGAATTCAATTTTAATAATAATAATAAAACAACAACCCATATTTATTTGAAATATAATCAATATGTTTTATACTTAAATTAATTAATGATTTTATTCAGAACTTGCATGTCCTAAATCAGAATGACATAATATTATGAATCACTCTTGGGAAATCACGATTTAAACCACTTATTTAAATGAGGATTTTTAGGCACTTAAAAGTATATTAGAAAATAATATATAAATTAATCTTAAATTAGAATTTTTATTTTACCAACTTATTTTTACTGTTAGTAATTTGTTTTTTTTTTATAAGTAATACCGTTTGTTGAACTAATTTTTATCAAAAATATCAAGTCACATAATATTATTAATTATTATTACATATTATATCATACATTATTGTTATTAAATCATAACAAAAATGTAATCAATCCATTGAAACGGTGTGAATAAGTTCATGATATAAATACGACAAAATACCTAGCTTAAAATGATTCTAATTATTTTTCAAATACCATTGTGTACATACCAATAGAAAATAATAATTTATAATATGTACCTAATAGTTAATAGTGTTTCAAGTCCATATGATTAATATAATTATTGTTTTTTAACAACTTACAATAAAATGTCTAAAACCGATATAAAGAGGAAAAATCATTATTTATCGTTACATATCCAATTTTATCAAAATTATAACTTCAAAATAAATATCTATAAAAATTAAATTGTAACTATGAATTTGTGTAATTTTTAAATTGTTTTAAATACCTTGTATCTTGTGACAAACCTGTATTATATATTAATATCATCAACATTTATTGAAAAAAACTAAAAATTAAAATTCCCAAAAATAGCAAAAATATCAAAAAATGGTATTAATGTATTATAAATATTAAACGAAAATATTTAGTACCTATCGATACTGATTTATATTTATATTTATATTTAACTTACAACAAGAAAAACAAAATTGTGCACAAGCTTTTACAAGCTTTTGAAAAGGACGTAATTATCTTTAAACTCTCCGACTCTCGTTGGTTTTAATTACTATATATCTATTGTATTGTATATTATGCTCATGATTTTTCTCTAAATAACTAAATAAATAATAATAATTGTATGTTCAAAAACTAGTTTTACATACATTTTTCCAATTTTTTTTTTTTTACTATAGATTTTATGACTATTTTAAAAAGTACTACAACATTTTATTCGTGGGTATTTGATACTTTTAAAGTAAGTGCCTATATCAAATGAATTGTTTTCATCAAAAAGTAATTCAACCTACTGTCTTACTAATGGTAAAATTAATTAATTTAACTAATATCATAAAATAAACTTATAGTAAATAGTAATATAATATAGATAGACGAGGTCTTCGCTCAGAATCGTTTTTCGTTTACAATGCAAATTCAACACATCGATTACAGTGACTTCCTTGACACTTAATATCTAATTTCTAATTCCTCTCAAAATCTGCAAATTACTTAAAATATTTCATCAGTAGTTGAGTAGTATATAAATTACATAATATACAGCCATATATATAAGCACCTATACCTACTACTTACCAATGGGGTAATTTGTTCATGTTAGGGGGGGGGGCGATTGAAACATTAACCAAACCACAAAAAAAAAATTTGGTTTATATCATAACTCATAATCACTTCTCAGTATCTACAACCAATGTGATTTGTAATCTGTATAGTGTAAGTACATATTATAATATTATGTATAAATGCGTCATAAGTAATGACATTCGTGAAATAATCTGCATAGGCATAAAATACTCAAGACAACCTCAAAAGGTTATAACTTTGAAACTTAAGTCCGACACTCCTTACTCCTACTGACAAATTCTGATTGCATCCTATTGTTCTTAAGTCTTAAACTATTAACTCAGAGAAATGTTTTAAAAAAAATCACTTGGGAGCTAAACTGTATTGTTATGCCGTATTTGAATATATTTGTCAATAGCGATTAGTGTTTATTACAAAGTAATATATCTCAGTTATGTACAGCTAGCATATAGAGTAGTCGGGTTTTTCTGTATTATTTCTATAAAATATACTATGTTGTATAGTAGCTATAATATATATAATTAATAATATTAATAGTTAACAAAGTACTTAAATATGGTTTGCTAGTTTTAAAAAATAATCATGGGGGAAGGATAAGACACCCAAATCCCCCCTGCCACGTAATTTCGCCACTTCTATGTACTCTGAACAACATGAATCTTTTTTTCTGCTAAAAATCTTAACGATGAACAACTACCTATCCTGTGCTATATGTATTATGGTAGGATTTTATAATTTAGTTAGTAGTTATATACTTAATACTCATATGAAAAATACATTAATCTAGAGATGTGACTATCTAAAATATTTACTTATAAAAACCATCGTTTTTGACAGTTTTTGGTATTCCCGGGGGCCGGGATCGATTTCGGGAATTTCCGAAGTACCAACGCCATAACCAAGTAATCGTTTTTAATCATATTCCTTTTGCTTAAAGGAGCACAGAACACAAAAAAAAAGCTTTTTTCATTTGAAAGTATGTTCAATTCTAAGAATAATTGTATAGATATTACGTTTTTAATCACATTATTCAATAAGTTATGAGCAATTGAAAAGAGACGCGTGAAGTAATTTGTCCCACGGCTCATCGTAATTGCCTATCTTATACGTAAAAGTTCCTCGCTTCACACAACGATTTACCAACCTAAAAATTTTTGTTTGAAATTTAATTACATATAAATATGTAATTGTATGTGTTTAAGACGATACAAGTATCAGATATTCAATATAACATTTAGTTTTAGATTCTGAGCGGAGCGATGAATGTATTGGTTTTACAATGATGTGTGTTTTTATATTTTTATATTTTTATATTTTTATATTTTTATATTTTTGTGTCTGTCATCACGTTTTGGGACAGTAAAAGTGCTTCGATTTTCTTCAATAGTACCTTTTCTGATAGGAAAGTGAATCTAGTTGGTACTTTGGGGGGTCAAAAGTAAACATTTTCCAGTAGTTTTCACAAGCGCCGGGAAAAACAACATAAAAATTAAGGAAAAACGGGAATTTTTACGCAAAATCGATTTTCCAAAAAATCGAATTTGGTTTTTGGTGTAACTTTAAAACAAATGACCGTAGATACATGAAATTTTCACTGGTTGTTTATATTTGCATTTTCTATACACGATAACATTTTCAAAATATTTTGATTTATTTTGAACTGTTTAGGGACATTTTCATTTTTCATTTTTTTTTAGTTTTTTTTCTAGAAATATCAATAAAATTTTATTTGTTTGTTGCGAAAGCTTGAAAATTTAATAGAAGGCTCCTAATATGTTTTTTCAAAGGCAGATGAAAAATATTAAAAATCCTTAGTCACAATTTTTTTTTATAAGCATTTAAAGTTCAAAAATTTACAAAATATGGAAAAATCACGAAAATTAGCAAATTATTTTGAGTTAAGAATTCGTAAAAATTTTTCTTTTTAAATCTAAGATTTGAAAATGAAATACAAGATTCCTTATAAGATTATCTACCTTTATCAATAAAAAAATCTCTACCGGACAGTCAAGTTAAATTTTTATGAGCGTTTGAAATTAAAATTTTTACAACATTGGATATTCACTCGATTTCTCATGTAGCGATTTCCTTATTTTGTTGTAATTCAAAAACGAACAACTGTAGATACATGAAAATTTCACTGAATGTTTAAATTAGCATTTTCTATACACCATACAATTTTGAAAATATTTTGACTCTTTTTGAGCTGTTTAGGGACATTTTCAGTTTTCAATTTTTTTAGTTTTTTTTTTTTATAATTGTCAATAAAATTTTATTTGGTGGGCCAAAAAGTCTGAAAATTGAATACAAGCTTTCTTATATATTGTTACAATATCAGTTGAAAAATTTTAAAAATACATAAGCACGATTTTTTTTTATAAGCATTTAAAGTTGGAATTTTGACAAAATTTATCAAAATCTCGAAAATAATCAATCGTTGGAATTAAAAAATTATAAAATGTTCAGTTTTTATAACTAAGAGTTGAAAATTTAAAACAAAGATTCTCTTAAATTATTCATACTGTAACCAAAAAATCTAAAAAATATATAAACACACTTATTTTTTACAGACATTTTAATTTCAAATTTGGACGAAATTACATATTAAAAAACCTAGAATAACTATTTTAGTTATTTTGTTGTGATTGAATAATATTATTCGTGGGTACTTGAAACTTCTAAAGTGTACTATTATATATCTATGATAGTATCACGGTTTTTGTTGATGTATAACGCGTTATAAGTATCTAATGGATATTGTGATATGATTAATTTGGAATTTATTATAGGTACCTATTATAGGTCAATTTTTTGTTTAATACCATAGATATGTATATAATATTATAATATGCCTTATACATAGACTGACATACCATCACCGCTCAGAATCGTTTTTCTTATACAATGATATTATATCATTGAATTCAAATTTAATACCATCCATTATACAGTGACCCACTTGTAACCTACTGTACAGCAGAGCGACACCCACTTGCCCACCTTTTTTTAAATATTAAAAATCTTAAAAGAGATATATTTTTATTATACAATTTTCTTAAGTTCACTTTCACATCTGTTTGTCTGTTTGTCTGTTTGTATGTGCAAAGTCACCTCCGAGGAAGTACAGGTACGAAGGGTTTCTCTGGGTCAAGGCGGGTTAACCTAACCATTACTCGCCGTAATATACAAAACATATAAAAGTATAAAAAATAAGATAAGATAGTGACTGGGAGTATATTTCAAGTGTAAGAGCACCACACACTTTTAAAAAATATACTTTTAACTAAAAAGTAGAAAATAAAAAATAAAAAATAAAATTTTTGAAAACATACTTTTCTAAAAAAACCATATAAGTCTCATACAAAAAATTTACTAATATTAACAAAAAAATAATGAAAAATTTACTGATGAAAAATTTAAAAGTGTGTGGTGCTCTACACTTGACATATACCCCCAGCCACTATCTTATAAACAGGATTGAAAAAAGAAGTGTATGTGAGACTTAGCTTGGCTTTAAATGTTTTGTATGATGCACCACACACTTTTAAATTTTTTATCAGTAAATTTTGCATTATATTTTTGTTAATATTTGTAAATTGTTTGTATGAGACTTATATGTTTTTTTATAAAAGTGTGTTTTTAAAAATGTTTTTTAATCTTTTAAATATTGTACCTACCTATATTCTACCTATATTAGATAAAACTTGTAAAATCTACTTCCAATGATAATAATTATTATTTTATACTAAAAATGTGAATGACCATGACACCCCGTTTAACAAAAATTATATCACTTTAAAAATGTATTAATATTTAAAAACCAAACATTATATTGAATTTCAGATACTTGTGTCGTCTTAAATACATAAAAACACACATTTATACGTAACTAAATTTCAAAAATATAATTTTTAGTTTGATAAATCGTTGTGTAAAGCAAGGAACTTTTATTCGTATAAGATAGGTAATTACTAATTACGATGCATAATGACGTCTTCACGCGCGGTTATTCTACATTTTTTTATAATATCTCTTAAAGTAATCATTTTTTTTACAACGGATTTTCACCAAATCATTTAATATAGCCATAGTTACAATAGTTTAACATATTTAAAAAAAAATTAAAGAACTTTTTTTTGTGTTGTGTGATCCTTTAAAGCACAATTCAATAATTCTTTTTGTACACTTTTCATAGTAATACCTTAGTTATTTTTTCAAATTTTGAACTTGGACTACTTAGCACAAACATGTATAAAGCATTTACAGGCAATTTCATTTTTGTAACTACTTCTCAAAATAAGTAGGTATCAATTTGATCAAAATGTTAATTCTTAATAAATTAGATTATTTCTATGAACCTTCTCTTCATACTTTTAACATTATTGAGTGGAATTATATAAATCAATAAATGCATCGTTTTTGATTAATTTGGTGGACTATATTATATTATGAAAAATTCCAATCCACTAAGGTTTGATGCTATCTGCTCAACTCTTGGAAAACCCAATTGAATAATATGCCTATCGCAATATAGTAGGCAGATAGGTATAATATTTACGATAGTCACAATTTTACAATAAAAGGTACCTATTGTAATAAATGTCAGAAAGATAATAAAAATCAGTGAAAAATTCGCAGAACTAAAACACCCATAGTATAGCACTATAGCCGTTAATTGTTATTATTCAAATCAATGGAAACACAATTTAAAAAAAAAAAATAATAATACAAATGAATCTGAAAGGGTCGGAATCGTACAGTGTTAGGTACCTCTGCAGGACACCAATTTGCTTCATGCGCATCAGTGCATCACTAACACAGTAACACCTAGAAGGCTAGAACTGCCTAGAAGATAAAATAATTGAAGAATTGCTGGATGTGTTATGGTGTAGTAGCTCGAACATCAGTGGGGATTGCTATATGTTGTGTGAAAATGTATATTTGTGTTTGAATGTGTAAAAATGCGTGCAAGAGTATTTTTTAAAAATTAGAAACTGATCTAGTAACAAATGTTGCTGTATAAATGGACAATGGTAAAAGGTACATTATAGCTATTGAGCATTAGCTAACGTAACAATATTATGATAATTAAACTGGCCCAGCTGACCGAACAGATTAAATATGAATATAAATGCTAAAAAGTAAAAATCAATAGCCTTTATTTGGGTTCAACAGTATAAAATAAGTATGTAATAATAATTTAATAACACTTTTGGTAACATTCGCGTACCTAACCGGCACGGCGGCCAATAACGCGTCGTGTACTAAACTCATGTATATTATCTCCATATTATAATATAATTCATTGATGACACAAAACAATTATAAAAAACAAATCAATTGATTAATGTAGACTACACTATAGAATATAAATATAATATTATCATATCGAGGGTGTGACCCAAGATCTATAAAGAAGTCTTCTTTATAGATCTTGTGTGCGACCAGCTACCCTTATCATGATTGTGAGATTATTTTTATTCTGTATTTATTTCGTTGCGGTGTCAATTATAGAATAATATTAATTTGATATTTATGAATAGATGTTAAATACAATTATAGGATGTTTGTCAATAACATTTTTTCTAACTATGTTTTTGAAAATTACTGTAGATTAAAAAAATTTAATTTTTTTAGCAATGCTTTAATTGTTTTTTGTGTTATGTAAAATGTTCAAATAAGCCAATACATTTAAGAGGACACTACACCCGTATATGCTCCGTCAGTTTAAACGTTTGAGTTATGCATGTATAATATAGCGTAAATTAAAAATGCTCATAAATCACTTAAAACTGAATAATCGTAAAAAATAAGGATACGAACCCAGATAATGTTCTTACTATCAAGTTTCATAGTAGGTCGATTCACTCTAACGTTTAAACAAACGGAGCTAAACGTGATCTGCTGAGCGTAATTTCGCACTTATTACGCACTTATAATACGGTACAATACATGCGAGTGTAGCGTCCTCTTAATACAAAATCGAACACAATTATAAGACTACCTACTCAAGAAGTATAAATCTAGTCTGTTTATAATTTATAGTACAGTTTAGAACTATTAACAAAATAATTAAGTAGGTATAGGTACCTATAATTATAAATATATATAAAGGTAATGGTGGTTTTTATTTTTATTTATTATTGATTTACTATTAAAATCGTGTAACTTATAATTTATAAGTTATATCTCATATTTAGAAATCATTATATGAGCTAATTTAGAATGTGCTTTGAATTTTTTTTTAAATTAGAATCTATATATAATATGTATAATATGTGTGTGTGTGTGTACTATGTGTTATGTATACTTAAAATAAATATATATTATATTATCAAATAGCAATTGAGTTTATAAAATTTAATTTGAACTAGAATTTTCAATTTAAATCTAAATCTTAGATAGAATAAATTATATTATATATTAAACCATTCACACACGTTTATAGCGTTCTTAAAATGTAAATTTAAAGTAGTTATATTAAAATAATATATTTAATTTTACCCCAGGTATAGTATCGTCATTTCGTTGAACGTTCTTGCTACCGCCAATTACCCATGACATCCACCTGATACCACCATCTCTAGTCGGTTCTTCTTTCATAGTGCTATATATAAGAACAAATGTAGGATTATCACTTTGGTTGTGGTTGTGGAATATTTTTATGGGTGACCAATAATAGTTGGTGAATATTATGATAATAATTAAAACTTATACATTAAAAAAATTATATTTCTTTATATTTGGCATAATAATTGTAATTAAATTATTAATTGCATAATGTGTACACGAATTAAAAAAAAAATTACTTTATATTCTTAAACCTTCACATGAGAACTCGAAAGATGAACAAAGGTGGTGAACATGCAAACAGAGATCAAGAAACAACACTACTGTATACTGAAGCGGTATAAAAACGAGTTTTAGAAAATTGCTTCACCCTCAATATTACAGCAATCGATTCCATGAGCATTTTTAGGCGTTCCTTGTTTTCATAAAATAATTGCAGTTACAAATACAATACACACGCACTAGTTTAAAGTAGATGTGTATCTATACACACACAAATATACTTATATACACATTAAAATTAATATAGTGAATAATAAAAATAATATATAATATACATACACGTTATAGACTATGGTGTTATGTACACGCATAAATGCAACAATTGTCCATTGATAATAATGATTATAATCTATACATAACATACGAGCCTATTTGCATGTATACGTTGAACGGCAACAACGATTTTGTTTTATACATACATATTATGTCAAGTATATAGGTATTACACCATTAAAATTATAAGTATAGGTACCTACTGGCTACTTCCTACCAATCTAATAACAAATTACCTAAATGGCTATATCATATTATATTATATTTATATGAATAGTAATTATTTGCATGGTTATAATTTGTTAAACAATACAAGTATTATCTAGGTACTTATATTTTATAAGCTAATGTGTACGTTATGTTTTTTAATTGTTTTTATACGATACACTCACAGCCATGGACGTGATGTACAGAGATACATAGGTACCTAGTGTTCCTGGGTATCTCCTGACATTTTGCAATAATTATTGGGGCTTTGAAAATAAGGCCTCTGTCAAAGGGCTATTGTTTTTTAATTTTATTTGTTATTTCTACATAAAATCAAATTTTTTCTAAAATATGTGATAAAAAAAATGAACAAAATATTACTTTGCGTTATTACATAATGTAACATAAGAACGCAACATTTTTTTACATTTGCGTGTATAAACCATAATTTATAATATAAGTAGGTACTGTGACCGAAAACCGTTTGAAATCATTAAGTCTAATAATAGGTATACAGAACAATAAATGGCTTCAAATGTTAAAACAGAATTAATAATAAAATAATTCGATAATTTAAGTAATATGCGTCAGTTATTAATCATTATGTACCTATACATTTTTATCGCGTATTATGATTATTATTTTTATTATTATACATAAATATAATAATATTATACATAGTACAAAAAGAAAAGAAATTATGCATGCATGTATATTATATATTAATTATACATGCATACATTACAGTTTATGAGCGTTACTTGTCTTGATAATAGAGTTACCAAATAAAAAAGGGGGCCCAAAACTACTGCAGAAAGCTCCATAATATTATATAGTGCTCACAATTATGTCAACAATATAAAATAAAATCATTTGAAATATTAATCAATGTACCTACTTATAGTTATATTAACAAAGTAATAAAAAAATCATAAATCTAACAAAATTTACCATAAATCAAATTTAAAAAAACCTGCAGTTAGACAAATACATTTTTAAATAACTCATTACATAGACATTAATCATCATACTAAACATTAAAGCATTATGTTTATAGGTCAGAATTTAGAAATATAGGATAATATATGAATTGGCTTAAGCCAATTGCAATGATTTTCAAATATATTTAATCTTTATAATATTTAAATAAATAATCAATAAGAATTTCCACTTTAATATATTATAATATATTAATATGTATTTTTTTAAATATTATAATTGAATAATCAAAATTGATTTTATAAAAAAAAATGAATGTGCTGTATAAAAGGTATTGTATTATGGTTTTTGTTTTTGAAACTATTCAATATAAAAGCACTTACTACAATTAAGTTAAAAATACATCAAAAAATGTACTTTATAAAGTTCTTGCTAGATAAAATTTCTTATATAAAATAATTATGCTGCATAATATTGTATAGATAACTATAATATCTACATAAAAGTTATGGAGTAATAATTTTTCTTAAAAGAATTATCATAGTTCATAATATAGAAAACACCAATAAAAAAAAAAACAGTGGCAACTGGCAAGTATAGGTAATTGCCCTGTTGAACAGTAGGGGTCGAGACTCAAGTGTAGGTACTTCGTCATTGATTAGTTCACTGTAATAGATGTGTTAAATTTTAATTTAGGAAACGGCTGTCAGTCTATTACCTATAATATATTTATAAATTTATATTTTATCATATATTTATATATAAATTAAAATATGTTAATAATAATGGGGCTCTAAATGTTGACAAAAAAATTTTTTTGAAAATGTATATTATTTTCGAACTTAGGCTCTGGCAACACCTGTTGATGGCCATCATGTCTATACACATTTCACATATTTTTGAATTATGCGGAGGAAGGATTTCTAATTGAATTTCAAAAGAAAACTAGAAAGTGTACTGCACCAGTAAGTTACATTTTAGAAAAAAAAAATTCGAAAAAGTTAATAAAATTGGAAACTGAAAATGTTCGTAAACAGCTCAAAATAAGTCAAAATATTTTGAAAATTTTATGGTGTATAAGAAATGCCTATAGGTATAATAAACACTCAGTCAAAATTTCATGTATTTACGGTAATGTGTTTTAAAAACCAAAAACGACTTTGTCAAAAACCGATTTTACGTACAAATTCTCGTTTTTCCTTAATTTATATTAAGAAAATTTTCTTTTGTTTTTCATGGCGCTTTTGAAAACTACTGAGAAATTTTTACTTTTGACCCCCCCCCCCTCCAAAAAAAAAATGCCAACTAGATTCACTTTCCTATCAGAAAAGATCCTGTTGAACAAAATCTAAGCACTTTTACTGTCCTAAAAGGTGATAAGATACAAAACAAATTTTAAAAAAACACACATATCATTGTAAAATCAATACATTCATCACTCCGCTCAGAATCTAAAAATAGTCACATTAAGTATGAGACAATGTGACATTATTTTGTTATTCGAAAATCGCAATCAATTTAGTACCTACCTACTAGAATTAATGTATTAGGTATAATAATATCGTTTTTACTGAACTATGTACTCTATAATGTGAAATTGGCTGAAATGTATTCACTTAAACTGAATTCAACAACTGATGTGTCAAAGCTCGATCAATTTTATTTTATGTATAAGTGTTAAGTGTGTTGTACAAATGACGTGTTCGTAAAAGAGTGATTATTTTGTGTTGATAAAACTGGAATTTCAACTGGAAATGAGATGTAGTTGTAACTTATTTTGTGAAGTATGTGACAAATATAACTTAAATTGGAGGCAAAATTCGACAAGCTATTATGATGGTGCATTTAATATGCAATGATTTGTAAAATATTAAGCTCATTTATACAAAATGAGTAGAAAAATGCAATACTATAGGTATGTATCCATATATGGTGTAGCACAAAATATTTGAATTTAACAGTAGTTGTTGATTGCTGTGCAGCAACTGAGTGTACACACGATTTTTTTGATACAATCAGAAGTAACATTTTTAGGTAAGTTTTTGTACCTAATATAACTTTTTGGTAGGTGGGTAGGTGGTATTAACTATTCTGGAACCACCAACTGAAAAATGTCAAACCGCATCTGATATTACTTATGAATATAGTTACCAAGGTTTACCAAAATTGGCTATTCACAATAATTGTAAAGATTACGAGTATTTAATGAGCACAGTATTAAGGTGTAGATTTCCCACCTAGGTGGCTAAATTGCACTTACTGTAGGTCTGAAGCTCATCGTCGTGTGCCCAATTCACCGCAGGTCGATTGCCTATCTGATATAATACTGCTTGCATATTGTTCGCGAACCGACATACTGACTTGCTAGAGACACTCAGACAAAGTTTTCGACTTAACACTTTGTACATACAAAAAATCACGGGATATACGGATGCACAAAACACTCTATCACACCGTAGGAATAAGGCCTACACATTTTTTAAACAAATATATATTTTTTTAAACAAATCTTTGGCATAAACAGCGCAGACAACCGCTGGGCGGGGACAGCTAGTATAATAATAAACATAAATATTTCAAGGCCCCCGCATGAATAATATTTTTAAAGTTGCAATACAAAATAGCCAAAATCATTACCTGTTCTTTATTTAAATAGGTATATATAATTTCGTCAAAATTTGAACTTCAAATACACATACAATTATAAGCCAATGATTGTGACTTAGGCCTTGACTTTTTTAATTCCTGTACCTATTAACAACTTATGAGGAACATTGTATTATATTTTATAGATTTTTGACTGAACATACATTTTTTTTATCGATTATTATAGAAATAAATTTTAAGAATAAAAAATGTCAAACTCTATAAAAAGCTCAAAAAGACAAACTATTTCAAAAATGATATCATGTAAGTATAGAAAATACTGATACAAATATTTAGTAAAATGTCAAATATTTACCAAAACCTATTACTTACAATTTTTGTTTTTTGCAGAATTACAAAACAAATAACAAAACTGATTTAATTGAAAACTTCTTTGGCAATAGGTACCCGTTTTCCCCTAATTTTTACTTTTGATCTCTCAAAGTATCAAGTAGATTCACTAATCACTATTCTAAATTTCTACCAGAAAAGATGTCAAATTGGAAAACTGAAGAATTTTTAGCACTCTAAAAGTATATGATTAGAGACAGAAAAAACACATCATTGAAAATCAATACATTTATCACTCCGCTCTGGATTTAAATCTAAAACTATTAGAATAATATTATAGGTTAGGTTAGGTTAGGTCACGACTCCCCATAAAAAGGATTAAAAATTTAAAACACTAGGTTCCATGTAAGTATGTTATTCTGAAATCGAAAATCTAAATAATACAAAAACGCAGATTTCTTATAGTTATTTTATGTTCAAATTTAGATGAAATTAGATATTTAAGCTAAGAGGAACGATTTTAGTTTCGTGTTATATTTTTAAATTATTATTCGTGGTTACTGGAAATACATCTCAAGACTTATATTGATATTATACAAAATATAATATTAATTCAACTCACAGGCTACCGTATTAATAATAATAATATCAATTGTTAAATTATCAATACAATATAAAATATCTTTGGCGGACAATCCGTCTCTGCTCATCAGAATTGTTTTTCGTAGGTATACAATGATATTATATCATTGAATTTAAATTTAACACCACCCATTACAGTGAGCCACTTGTAACCTACTATACAGCAGAGCCAGAGCGACACGTTGTAGTTTTCAAATATATATTATACGATTATTAATACCAGTATATGTGTATTGTGTATATACCTACACCAATTTATAATTAAAAAACAGTTAGGTTTTCTTTAATTTTATATTTTATATCATAAAGTCTGTATAGAATATAGATAAGCGAAAGTTACATATTTTCAATATTTTAAAACGCCATTTCCATGAAGACTTACGTTTGATTTTATTATTTTGAGATGAGATTGTTTAATAAACAAAAAGAAACCTATTAAATTCACAATTTATGTAGTGTATATAAGATAGAAATAACAAATAAATGACAAAATTAATATATATGTATATGCTCCAAAATTACTCGACCAATAAAAAGAATTCCATATTATACTGAAAATTAAATACTATTCAAAATTCAATAATACATATATAATTCAGACACGTGCGTCAAATACAAATTAACTAAGAATAATGTTATGTTATAAATGTCAATAATGTAAATTTTAAATTGTATATTCTCCATATCCAAAAATTATTTGCAGGAAATATTGTAGAATGAATGTCCCGCACATAAAAATCGGAAAATATTGGGTTTGATTCGCGTTTTAATTTTTAGCCAAAATAATTTTATTGGCCATGACGTATTTTAGCAGAATTCTATATTAACTGACAAATATTTCAGCCGGTAATATTTTAGCTGAAAAATATTTTAGCTAATAACTATTTCAACAGAGTGTATTTTATCTGACCGTATTTTAGCAGACAAATATTTCGGCCTTTAATATTTGACCAGACAGCTAAAATACGTTTCAGCCAAAATACTTTTCGGATGAAATACTGTGGGCTAAATTATTTTTGGCGACATTATTTTCGGACTTTGTAGTTCGTATAGCCCCTCTAGGCTCTAATAAATGTTTCAATGTTAGATATTTTACTTAGGTACCTATTTACCTCACTAGCGTAATATCTTTGAAAATTATTTCATGACTATACAAGGCTATTATAAATAGGTATTAGATAAAATATCAAATTATTATACACAATTACATATTATGATATAGTTTGTTTACATTTTTTTCATAATTATTTATACTGTAGAAAATTGCTTTCTGACTCTGTGAGTGCTATCTACCCTTATGACCTTATCTCCCCACCGTGGAATGGTGTAGCCCATATATGGACATTTTTAAGAAAAACTTAAAGACATACCTAGGTTTTTATATTTCATGCATATAGTAGCCAATGCGTGGGCGGTGCGTCGGCGTGATTAAAGGTGAATTATAATGTTTTCCCTCTGACAACGGGCACCAAAGCTTCCACCAAAAGTAGGTATACCTTATTTTCTTTTTCGCCAAAACAGGCACGTACAGTGGCGTAGACATGATTCCTGAAAAGGGGGATAAAAAAAAAAAAAAACAGCTAAATGAGAGGAGAAAATTGGCAAATCCCCCACCCTCTCAAAACTTTTAAAATTATTTAGTTATTACCTAAGGTAATACAAAGCCAATGGAGGGGATCTGACACCCACGTCCCGCCCTTGTCTACGCCACTGAGCACGTAGCTAAGATTGGGGTGGCCTATAATATTATGGCCAACATTTACCTACCTCTCCCTCACCACCACTAAAAATAATCGTATAATATCTAATAATACCTATTAGGTTATAGGTATACGACATAGGTAATATGAAGGTTCGCACACACTTTCACGGTTGTGATAAAATTGAACAATTTACCCAATATCAATCATAAACATTATAGAGCAATGTTAATACTCTATCATAGCATTATTTGTCATTAATGATTATAAGAGGAAATCGGGGATTGTATATTTTATATTTACAGATTATAAATAGGTTATACTGTTATAATATATATTAGGTTTTTGGCTGTACAGCATAAGCGCTAAAGGTACAAAAATGACATATAATTTGCGCCAAAATGAATAAAATATTATATAAGAAGATATTTAAAAATCGCTATAATAATATGCATAAGTATAATTTTATAAAAAAAATTTCAATAATAAATTATAATATGCATTTAAATAAAAATCAATTTAATAAATCGGTTGATTGCGATTTTATAAAAAAAAAAGCCCCCCCTCCCATTTGCGCCTATGATTCAATACGCCAATGACGTAATACCACTGTCCACTGGCTATTCCTCGTATGAATCTATATTTTTGCACTTTAAATAAAATGCACACCACACTTTTATTCGTAATAGTTGTTAACACAAAACTGCTCACACAGTGTGTCTGTGACAATCTATCGTAATCAGATAATCAATTTGTCGATTAAGATTACATTTTGTAGCAGTGGCGTAATTGCGGGGGGGGGGGGGGGGCACTTGCCCCCAGAAATGTTTGTAGTGGCAAAAGTATCATTTCCCCCCCCCCAAATAATCCACATTTAAAAAGTATTCTTAACAAGACTGTTAACATAATATTATAATATAAAAATATTTTTTTCCTCAAATTATTTTATAAATGTTTATATTTATTTTAGGTTTCTCGTTTTAAACGGCATGAAATGTTGTTTATCGTTTGCGCATTATCGCATACTTGTTTTCCGTAAAAAATACGATGCACGAGTTTTAGACTTTTTAGGCATTTGTGTTAGTCGTCAATGATGATTAGTGTGAGAGAGATTGTATGCAGTTACCGAGCTATAATCAATAAATAACAAATAATATCCATAGTTGGTACTGATTTGTTTACAATAATTTAAATTATTCTATGTTTGATTATACTTACACTCTCCAAAGGTACTGGGTCATCAATTAGGGACAGAGGATCATTAAGTGGTGCTATTACCAGGCACGTAGCCAGAATATTTCTGCTAGGGGGGCCAATAATTGTTGGCCCTTTTATCATTTTCCATAATTTTTTCCAATGCAATACTTGAAGGGGGCTTCCCTTTCACACTCATCACTAGATGGTATGCCGTATAAAGAATCTTATTAATTTATAATTTACCTTTGATTGGTAGTTGGTTAAAAAAAAAAAATGTTTTCTCAACAAGCTCTATTACAGACTACAGTATTACAAATATATATAGTACCTGATTAAAAAAATAACCAAATTACCTACATCTTTACTTTTGGGATACATTTGTCATGTTATGAAAAATAAATCTACATAAGTACATGTTTAGAATATAAACTGATTAAATTTTCAAACTTCTATTAACAAAAATTAATTTATATCTAAACACTAATCAAAAATAATAGAAGTAATAATTGATTTTTATTTTAAAAAACAAGTACACAAACAAGGAGAAAATATTAATAATACAATACCTAGTAGTAATACCGAAGTACTTATATACATATAAAATAATAAATAGTAAGTAACTGTATAAAACAATTCGATTTCGCATATAATTTTTCAGTCGTCTCAGTAATTACTGTTCCAGTATCAAGTGCAGCTTGTGAAAGAACTTTTTCATGTCTGAGACGACTGAAAAATTATATGCGAAATCGAATGACAAATGAACGTTTAAATAATTTGGCTTCAATAAGCATAGAAAAAAAAATTTCTAAAAACTTAGATTTAGATATTTTTGTACAATTGTTTTCAGAAAATCATAAAAACAGTTACTTACTAACTGTATAAAACAATTCAATATAAAATTATTTTTCTGTTTTTATGATTTTCTGAAAACAATTGTACAAAAATATCTAAATCTAAGTTTTTAGAAATTTTTTTTTCTATGCTTATTGAAGCCAAATTATTTAAACGTTCATTTGTCATTCGATTTCGCATATAATTTTTCAGTCGTCTCAGACATGAAAAAGTTCTTTCACAAGCTGCACTTGATACTGGAACAGTAATTACAATAGTAGCTAGCTTATAAGTTTCATTGAAAGCTAACTTATACTTCTCAAGTAGTTCAATTAAATTCACTAAGTTGTTTACTTTAACATTAATATTTTGAATTTGATATTTCTTGATAGTTGTTGGTAAAATTTTTAGTTCTGCCCTTAGTATTTCTAGATCAAGATTATAATGAACAGCTAAAGGTTTCAAATGTTCATAACTTAAAAACTGTTCATTTTGGGGATGTAAGTAAGATATTGATGACAACACACAATAATTATCTGTAAATCGTGCTTCTAGTTCTTTTATTATATAATCCAACGCAGGTATGTAAACATGTTGTCTTAAACCATTTTTTGATAAAACTCTATTAGTTTCTAAAGAACTGTTCTCAGTAAATATGTACTGTTTAAATTTTTCGGGGACTTTTTTTGTTCTTTTTTTTTTACTATGTTCATTTGGTATCGATATGTTATTTTCTTTACAAATATTTACAGCCCCTATGTACATTTTATTAAAATTGGAATTATTGTTCTCGGTTTCATCAGTTCTCATGGCTTTAAAAGTAGTTATAATTGATGAAATAAGTATTAAAGATTCAGCCATTTCAGCTTTTACATTTTGCAAATAATCACTTGTTGTTTTTAGAGTTTGAAGAATATCACAAAAGATAATTAAATTAAATACAAAGTCAAAATCTATTAAATGTAGTAAGCCCTTTGACTCAGCTGCACGGTCACCTTTCTCAAATATCAATTTATTTAATAAAACTAGCAGTGGACTAAGACCTTTTTTTAATGCTAAGCAAGCAAAGACTTGCGCTGTCCATCTTGTCAAACATATCCTTTTAAGTTCAACAGCAGGTCTGTACTTCATAATTGTTTGAATTTCCATAAACTTTGAATGTATAGCAGAACCAGATACAAATACATATAAATTTTCTACAATATCAAAAAACATTTTCACAGTTGGAATATTTTTGCAAACGTCAGAAATTACAAGATTAAGCCTATGATTGTAGCAGTGTACATATATAGCCTGAGGTACTTCTTGACGAAATAATGCTTGTACCCCATTATTCTTTCCACTCATGACACTGGCACCATCGTAGGTTTGAGCAACACATTTCAGTATATCAACATTATGAATAGAAAGTATTTCTTTAATATATTGAAAGAGAGAACTAGCGGTCAATGATTGAGCAGCTTTAAACCCCATGAAACGTTCATATACTATACCATCTAAGTAATATCTTAATATAACTGATAACTGTTCCACTTTAGTAATATCTTTTGTTTCATCAACAATTATAGAAAAATACTGACACTTTTGTAATTCATCAATAATTTTGTTACGGATCATTTTATTGAAAATTGTAAACATTTCATTCTGGATTTGAGGGCTTGTATATTTAGCATTATTTGGTAATGTTTTACTTTTACTTTTAAATTTATCACTAATATCACCAATTAAATTTAAAAGTTCAATGAAGTTACCACGGTTAGCACAACTTTCTTCTTCATTGTCACCCCTCTGTGCTATGCCTTGAATAGCGGTGTACAACAATGTTCTCCCAATCATCTTGATATAATTTTGATTTTCTAAAACTAATTTCTTATGACCTTCATTTATCAATGATGCCACAGACAAATTACCTAATTTTTTCATGTCTAAGTAGGACATCCACATAGTGTTTGAAATCATGTGTTCTTCACTATTATTGTGTTTCCTTAAACCAGAATTTTGATCTAATGCATTTTTCCAATTTTTGAAACCTACACTTATGAAAATGGGTTTGTCTTTGTTTTTGGCAAAAAAACGACATGGAAAACAAAAAGCAGAATTATCTATTATACTATACTCAAGCCAATTATAACTATCAAACCATTTTGATGAGAAATGTCTCATTCTTTTACCAAATTTGGTTTTAGGGTAACATACCAATCTTGGCTGTTTTGGTCCATCATCTAGGGTTTGAGAAATATCATTTGGTCCAGGAACTTGTTTAACGATTTTGACTGATTGGCTGCTTGTAGGAACAGATGTAATATCACTAGCTTCATCAATTGCATCTTCAGATTCACAGTCATCAATATCATCACTACTTGTGTTAATATAATCCAGATTTGATGTAATATCACTATAATTATCATGATCATCGTCACTAGAATCATTTCCCCTTGTTTTTTTGGTCTCACAGTCTGAAAAATAAAAAACAAATTTTTAAATAAATAAAATATAATTACTTATATAATATAATTTATATATAATTTAGACAGTTTGACAACATTAAATTTTAAATAAATAACATAATTAGTTTATATAATGTTGGATTGCATAGAATGCTTATCTAATATTTTAAAATTAATATATACATATTATATTTATCTAATAAAGTTAATTCATTACAATCATTCTTCTCAGTAGACCTAAATGGGGGTAGGTACTGGTTAGTGTTTAAAAGTCATTAATATTCAAAGGTACAAAAAATATTATTATTATATGCAACCCAAAATAATACTTAACATATTATAATAAATATAAAATATAATATTATAAAGTAGGTATAGATATTTCATCAATTCACCATAATTATAAATATATTTAAAAAATATTTTTAATTATATTTACCAGCATCTTCAAGTTGTAATTTATAAGTATCTATAGAGAATGATGGTTCCTTGCTGAAGACTTTCTCAGTTGTAAGTTCAAAATTACAGCTACCTGATAAATATAAAATACAAATATAAATTAATTCTCTGTAAAATAAAAATTGCTGTAGTTTATATTTTATGGTATAAAATATTGAAATATACAAGAAGGTAATTTGTAATTATAAATAGTAATAGGTACTTACCAGAAGGGGAGGAATTTATATTTTCAACAGCATCAAATTGAGTACAATTTTTTTTAGCACTTGTGGCGCTAGTATTACTAGTAAAATAATCGTTTATACGTTTCATTGCATTAATAAATGTATTCACAGTTCACACAACGGCACAACACACAGTTAGACGGTTAACATTCAGGAGTCAATACAAATCAAATTGCAAAAAAAGAATATGCCATTAGGATATAATAATTTAACATGAACAAAATAAAACGTACAAAGTCAAAACCATGCATAAATAAACATAAGCATACTCCATACAGTTGGGCATCACTGCTGGACATAGATAACTGCACCCGACTCATATTATGTTCTAACTTAGATAATATAGTTCTATGTTTGTTTATTTTGAAGTATTAGTGGAAATATGGAGTCTTTTAGCTTTTATATACTCTATATATAAACATAATACATATTATCTATTATAATATAATAATATATTGTTCTGGGAAAATAAACAACAATAATCAGAAACAACGATTATCGATATCTAAAAATAACGAAAACTAAAACTATTACGTCCACGTCGTCAACGGCGTTGAAAGTGTTCATCATATTACATTATTTAATAACGACGCCGGGTATGCACTGATGACTGCAAGCTGCCCGGCTATCTAATATCTATATATTATCTATTATTGTCTATGAAACTGGTATGTCTATCAATACCTTATTATTTTTTTTTTCAGAAACGTTATCCACGAATATAAAAATGAATTATTATAATAATAATTGTATTACCTATAGTAATATACTAATATCACACTATACCACTATATCATATAGGTATAGTAGTTGTATAATCACAATATATTTATTTCAATGTGCACAATCACATTTTTGATAATTGGTAAAATAATTATATTTTGAATTTCAGGGGGGGCCGGCCCTGGGCCAGAGTAAATTTAAGGTGGGCCCGGCCCACCCAGGCCCCCCCCTGGCTACGTGGCTGGCTATTACAGATTGCATTTTGGCTTTTTTGTTTGGATTTACATCATCTTGGAGTTCTCTTGAATGAATTTCATAATGCTTTCTAAGATTACCTACTCCTCCGTTAGGTGTCTTGTAATCTTTACCACACTTCTTACATGTATAGTTAAATTGATCTATTTTGGTAAAATATTTCAATAGCACGCATTTAGATATCATTATTTGTTAATTGTTAGTAAAATATTGAACTGTACTAGGTACTATGTACCTGTTAAAAATATGATTAACAAATTAACACTGACGAGTAACGATACACAATAAACAACAAACTTATTTTTACATCAAAATATTCACTAGGAACGTTCTTTTATAATATTCTGCCGTCTGCTACTGCCTACTAGACACTAGTGGTAAGTCGTAACTCGTAAGTGGTTACTAGTAATATTAATATTATTATCTTCAACTTTCAAGAATTTAAATAAATAATAATATTATAATCTATAAATAGATATTATGTTTTGGTTCTGAATAGTTGTTTCTACCACAGGCCACAGCTGCTATTGGCGATAGAAAATTTGATAACAATTTATAGAATTATGTTAATTAGGATGGATCTATAATGGGCCACTAGAAAAATAACATAATAATATATAAATGATACATCTTGATTTCTGCTGTTACCATACTAACCACGAACTAAGATATATAGTTCGTGATACTGTGGTTCGTGATCAGTGCCGTAAAAACCGGGTGTGCAAAGTGTGCACCGCACACAGGCCTCGGGCCTCATAATATATCGAAGGGCCTCAAAAGATCCAAATACTAATATTAAACTAATATAAAATTATTAAAATATATAAATTATTTATTATTGATTTGGAAACGAAACCAATGTTTCAAACCAATTGAGAGGAACGAACAAATGTATTGATTTTACAAGATGTGTATAATTTTTTTCATTTCTGTCGGTCATCAACAATGGGTAGTAAAAATATTCCGAATTTCGAGATCAGCATTTTTTCTGTTAGAAAAGTGAATCTAGTTGGTACTTTTTGGATATCGAAACCGAAATTTTTAGTTTTAGATATTAAAAAGTGTCAATAAAAAAAAAAAAAATTGTCATTTTTACCTAAAACTAAAAATTTTATTTTTTGGTGTAACTCGAAAACTAATAACCGTAGACCATTGAAGTTTTCACCAAATATTTATATTAATATTTTCAATAAATTACATTTTGGACAATTTTTACTTTTTTGAGTTAGTTATAGCCTTGAGAAATTGTTTTAAAATTATAGATTATTTTAAATTAAACATTTTTTTTGTTTAAGCCCGAATTTTTGTCTGCTGACTTTAAAAAGTTGCAAAAAAAGTTTTTGAGGTGTGTATTGAAAAAGATAATAAGGGGCCTCAATATTTTGGTTTTGCACACAGGCCTCAAGTAGCCTAGTTACGGCACTGAGTACAGTAATAGATATCTGTTACAAGATTTGTTCAGTTTAGAATATTATTACAACTAAAGTCAATATTTTATTATATTGTAAAAATTGACTTACACACTCGACAATACGAAAAAAGCAACAATAGTTTTTTGTGTTCACAAATTTATTTTTAATTATCGAACAAAAACAATATAACATTTTTTAATTTTGAATATAATTTCAAAAACGGAAACAATTTTGGAAACGGTTGCCGTTATATTATTATACAATTTTGTATGTTCAAAAAAAAGTTAGAACAAAAAAAAAAAGCCGAAATTTGTAAAGTGAATATTATTCGATATAAGTAAAGAAAATTTAAATACAAAAAAAAAAGGCATCGGTCAAGACGACGCGATGTGGGGGGGTACGTGGTGGCGAGTTGGTGGTGCTGATGATGTATTGGTAACTGGTATATGGCCACTACAACGTTCTCACGGGCTGTCCTGCGGGGCGGACGAGAGTCGCGGGCGAGTTTGCTCGAGACCGCCAAGACGACCATGGCAGCGGACGAAGCCAGGCCACGACGGCTGCGAGAGCGACGACGATTGGCGACGAGAGGCTAGTGCGCGATGTCGTGCGCTGCTTGACGGTACTGCGGGTGCTGAAGACGACTGCTTGTGCCGGCAACGACGGTGACCTGCAAAGCTCGGAGAGGCGAGCTGGCGACTACGATCTCGGTGCAGCTGCGGAATCGGCGGCGTTGCGACTCGGGATCGGACCACTGGGCGAAAAAGGGAGAAAATCTGCAGACAGCTTCGCGACGACGCGCCGCTGTCCTGATAGTCTCCGTGATTTTCACCCTGGCGTCTCCGTCTGCCGCAGCCGATGGCCACGGAGCCGCGCACCGTCGAACCCGACGAAACGTTTCGTTTCCTCGAGCCCGGCGCTGCTGACGTCCGTGGCGTTCCTAGCTATACCCTGTAATCATAGTCATCCGTCACTCACCCGCCGTGAGCTCTGAGGTGTCCGTCGCCGCCGTCACGCGAGTCGCGCAGCACTGCAGCGTTCGTCACTGAGCAGGTACCGTGTCGGGGACGGCGTCGTTGTCCGCGCCGGTACCGCTAACCTCCGTCGTCGTCGTGTCGTCGTCGCTCCCGGACCGAAGCAGCCGGGCGCCCGCCGCGCCGCCAGAGGGTCTCGCGTGTCTCGGCGACCTCGAGCTCGCAACGTCCGCGATCCCGTCGCGCTGCCACAGGATGGCCGGAGAACGTGTATCGGCGACTTACCGCCGGTCACCACCTGAATGTGCACTGCCGCGTACCTATTACCTCGAAACCCCACACGTCGCCTCGTCTTGTCCGCTGCCCTCGGCCAGGGGGGAAACTTTTGGACGGTTTCACTTCGGGGGACAACAACAGCGCAACACGCGTGCGGCTCTCGTCAGGCCTCTCCACGCAGAGGACACCAGTCTCGCCGTTGCACTGCGCGGAGCTGCGCGTGTTTCTGCCTTGACCCCCGGGTCCAGCCAACCAATCAAGATCCCGATACTATTTCTGACTTCCAGTCCTCTGGCCGGTGTGGCGCCCACCGCCTCGCCATCCAGCTCCTTTTTCGCGGCTTCCTGCACCGGAGGCGCGACCACTTCAACGATCGGTTCAACCGGTTCTGCCATTTTGTCAGATTTGTCGACCGGTTGAAAGACGTTGGACGGGACGTAGTCGTCCCCCGCGAAGCGCGTCGCATACGATAAAAGTCCTTCCAGGTCTCCAATGGTAGGCTCTTGGTCGATGTCGTCTATTCGTTTAAGTTCTTCTTCCATAATCTCGTACTCGACGTTGCTTATTATTTTTCCCAAGATTTGCATGATAGTTGTTTCCATTTCCTTTTCTTCGATATGCGATGCAGCCATTTTTTCGTTCAGGTTTTTTTTTTGTCCGCGTAAGGTTAGGTCAGATTATATACTCAGATGAGCTCAGAGTTGCAAATGTGCCGATTTCGGTATTTATTCCTGGGCCGTCGACGATGATTTTAAACAAACATCGTTTATTAGTAGCCAGCATATTATTATATTAATCGACGGCCGGCATCAGCTGGATTTCGGGCCCGTTAATTTTTCCAAATGCCATTATTACGACTATTATTGGTATACCGACTCTAACTGTATATACTTACGCAGAGGTACACTATAATAATTGTATTATAATATTTTAACGAGGATTTATATGTCGATCTGCATTATATTACTATACTGTCGTATATATAATATATATACTCGCTTTATACTTTTGTAGGTACCTATAAGATTTTTAGATTCAGAACGGAACGCGACCAATGCGTATTGCGATTTTACAATTATTGTTTTTTGTGTATGTGTTGGGGTGTACCTATATTGCGTTTTATACAGTGCCGTAAAAACCAGGTGTGCAGAGTGTGTACCACACACAGGCCTCGGGCCCCATAATATATCGAAGGGCCTCAGAAGATCTAAAGACTAATATTAAACTAATATAAAATTATTAAAATATATAAATTATTTATTATTTATTTTTTAACCTAGTAAATTACTAGGTTTATATGATGGCGTTAAAACGGTTTATACTCAAACCGTTTTGAAAGTTAAAACGCTAGCGCTATGTAGTTTAAGAATTTAAAACCGTTTTATATGTTTTGTTATGCTGTATTTAATTATTTTTGATTATCGCATTCCGTTATAATTACGTTTACA